CAGGTGAAGTGAGCCAATGCACAACGACACAGGCATTTCAGATGAATGTTCTGCATCATCTCTGTACGTAAGAGAGCAGAGCAGTACCTGACCATGTTCATCAATACAACAGGAATAAAGGATAAAGGAATAAAGGAGCCTGATGACAGGTGAGGAGAAAGGGGTCCAGCTGTTACCAGCCACACTCCATCCCTCATATTGTGAACCACATAGCCTTCCCCAGGGATGATTAAGCATCTCTAAAGAAGCTTAGGCAGCCTAATGAACAGCTTGCTAGCCTAATTAATTAAGATTCAGGTCAGACATATAGGCAGCCTAAGATTTCTGCCCTCTCAACCCCATTCTGGGAACCAGCACAGTGGCTTGAGCAGACTGATGGGGGGCAATGGCACAGAGAGATGTGACAACAGCCAGACAGACATCGCCTGTGCAGCTGCTGGAGCGTTTTCATCAGAAGCAGCCTCCAGGCTGGGCTGCTAAATGCTGCCAGGCTCAGTGACGCTGCAGACACCTTGCACACTTGAAATGTCTGCTCTGATGAAATAGCAGAGGCAAAGACGTTGCAGTCTGCGTGACAGGATGCTTGACAAAGGACGAGCAGAAGAAAGCAGTGACACATGAGGAAGAATTTTGCTTCTCTAGGAGGAAGCCTGAAGATCTGAGTATACTGAAACATCAGCTCCTACAAAAGTCCCGACCCCCTGTGCTTTTATACCTACAGCATGCACATGTGCTTAATGTTAAATAAGCAAAGTCTGGTGCTTATCAGCTTGGTGATAATTTTGAAAGTCACACTCAGCAAACAGCACAAGAGGGCACTTCTCAGGTGGCAGCTGGTCAGGGTAAGCAGCTGACATAATTGAGCAGCCTTGAGCTGCTCACCAGGAGCAGAGGTGTGTACCTCAGGAACAGGATCCCTGGGCACTGCCAGGCAACCAGCACTCTCTTCTCACCTTGCAGGGAGTTTCATCTGCTTTACATAAATCAGTATATAATCCTCATAGTACACAGCCACCCTTAAAGGCTCCTCTGTTCCACCCATCTTCATCTTCAAGTGCACAACGACCTTATTTGCAGCCCCAGAACTCTCTCTAAGCAAGCATGCCGTGATGTTGAAGAGCAAAAGAACTGCAGCAAGAAATACATCTTAATGCTTCCCGCTCACTACCTACCACGCCTTTCATCCTGGCACTTTCACTGCAAGAACATTCTCTCATTAAAAACGAGCAGAGTGCAGCTGGGCTGGGGCAGCTTCACACACACAGGAATACAGTGTAAAGGGGCTCCTGTTGACCCTAAAAACAACCTTTTCGGTTTCAGGTGTTAGATATTCATTTTAGTGCTCAAATGGACACATCTGCATTTAAAAATTGGGCTCAGAGGTGGGACAGGCATACTCATTTGCCCTCACTGAGTCTGTGGGTTTGTCCCTTCAGTATTTTCCTATACATCAGCTGGAGCTGCAGCCTTCAGTATTGCTGCTACTGGTGCTAATCGTTAGTGCTACAGAAATCATTCTCACCCTGAACTTGCAAGATTGCTGCATCACTATTAATGATCAGAAATGTGAATTTCTGAACAACCCTCTGGCTCTGTCTTGCTTCAATTCTTTTTCTGCAGTTTTCTTTCCAAAACTGGGTTTTAACCCAGCCACGTCCCATTGGCATGGTGAGAGAAAGAGCCTTTTCAGATGCGCTGGGAAACCAGCTTCACGTGTGACAATCTGCTGATGGATTTAGATCGATATCCCTTGGGATCTGCACCTGAATAAAGCCATGCTTTGTACTCCACTCCAGGGAAAGCTCTGCTTTCCTCTGCTTCCTCTGTTTGCAAGATATGAAAGCACCAATTTCAAAAAAGAAAATACAGGAAGCCAATTGAATGGCTGTGAGATATTATCAGCCCCTGAATGGAGCAAAGCACCGTTGCTGACTCCGCAGCAGCTGCCTGCTTGGTTTGCATCCAGACTCAGGTGCTGCATGCATCTGCAGGGACCGAGGGGCCTCTGCTGGACTGTGAGCACAGCCAACATGAAACCCAGGCTGTGCAGTAGCAGGGATTTGTAGCAAAGCAAGCACGGCACGGTTACATGTTTCCTTGCAGCTCACTCCCCTTGTGTGCAGAGCTTATACTAAAATGCCCGTGTTGGATGCTGCCACAGTGTTTGAAGTGGTGACCTCTCAACAGCCCCACGGTTCTCTGCAGCTGGGCTTAGCTTCATCCTCACCTTTCTATAAGGGCACTGTGGGAATACCAGCTCTTGCTAGCACTGCAACACATTTTGGTTGACTTAGTTACTGTGCTGTCAGCATGTCCTCCTATTTAATCTGTGCCATTAATTCTTGCCTTGCTACTGGCTTCCGAAAGCATTAACAAGGGAAAGATAAATCAAGTGTTACAGCACAAAGAAGACTTGTGGGAAAAAGCTTTTGAGTCTTTTCTGAGGCTTTCATGCCTGTTATTCCGAACTTTGCTGATACAGCTGGATTTGCCATCCTGTTGAATGAGCATATTGCAGACCATAAAAAAAATAACAAAGTAAAACCACGTGCTCTTTGTGTAGGTGGGAGCTGGAGACAGGCTGCCAGCTATAACAGCATGGGACACTTGGTAGCAGCAGAATTAAAAGTGCAAACGCTGGCATGGCATGGCTTATGCCATGTCCTTATCAGCACACAGTTCAGAACACCAAAACAAAGCGAAAACAAAACCTGAGGCTGGGATTAGAGTGCACAGACATCTGAATGCAGCAGCATGCGTGAGCCTGAGCTTGTCCATGTTTGGGAGCACACATCTGTCCTCCAGCTGCAAGAGGATGTTTGTGTGAAAGCGTAGGCAGACATCCGTGCAGGTCATGTGGGAACATGCAATGGCCCTGGGCTTGTTTGGGGTGATGGAAGCTTGTAAAGAGCCCACCTAAGCCAGTTTTGGGGACATACTTTCAGGTTGCAGTCTTTCATCTCTGCTACTCAGCCGAGGTGTCTATCAGATCCATTCAAGACCTCTTAGCAGTTACCATCATTACTACAGCAGGACGGTGTAGCACATCACGGTGGAGCAGGAGAATATTTATCCCTGAGAAGTTCGTGCCCCGATTCATGTGTATGTTGTGCTTTGAGTTTTCAAATAGCAGTACAAGGTTTTCTTTGTCCTTTTTTTCTTTGTCCTTTCATCCTCTTTTTTCCACATAGACCATGAGAAACCAGACTGCATAGTTCAAGAGTTCAGAGAACTCACACTGAGAATGTTCTGCCCCACGCAGTTCCCCACACAGTGGCTAGTTCCAAGTGACCCTGAGCATCTGAAACTACATTCAGATATAGGAAATATTCAAATGTAGAAAATAATGACTTGTGAGTGTAATTTGAGCTCACAGAGCTGAGGAGCACGGAGTTATGGAAACACTATGAGTGGTGCGGCACCAAAAAGGCTGATGCAAATGGAGATGGGAGACAGGACGCGAAAGGCTCCTTGTTTCTCCATCAACCTCATGCCTGATGAACACCTCAGGAGGATGTTTTGTGAAAAGGCACTTTTTCATGTCAAAGTCTCCCCTCCAAAAAAAAATTTGAAGATTTGGCCCCATGGGGACTCGGTGACCAAATTCCTGTAGACATCAGGAAGGGACATTTTTCACACGCTGGTTTCTTCTTGAGGTTCAACACCAAGAAGCAGCAGGGGAGCTTCCTACTCTACGTGTAGAGCCAGGGAACTCAGCAGAGTGCCTGTAACTTGTTGGCTGAGAAACTGCCCAGTTCACTTGACCCAGTCCCTCTGCAGCTTTCTGTTCTCTTCCTGGGCATAAACACTTTGCAGGTGGCAGCTTTAGTTGTAACCACAATGTTGTCAGAATGACCAGGCAATCAAAATCCTGGTCAGGATGTACATTGTCCACCACCGTGAAGTATTTTCCCAGCACTCCCCTTCTCCATGCTTTGGGGTCATGTTTCCAACATGCAAGGTTGGTGTGTAGGCAGGTTTTGAAAGGGTAGGAATTCCCCTGCAGTTTCCAAAGCAAAGTATTTGATGTTTGGGGCTAACCTGAGGGCACTGAGCTGCGCCTTCTGTGATATCCTCACTAATCTGAGGTAGGCATTGGGTTGGACAGGAATGAAAACCACCCTACCTCTAGGCAAGGTAGGCTTTGAGGGAATTCAGTGAAAAATACAATTGAATTCCCTCTAAAAGCAAGAAACAATCACAAAAGCAATTGTAAAGTGGGATGAAGGAAGCTTGCAGCTCAAAGATGCATTTGAACACAGGTGATGTTAACACTGTGCTCTGGTTATGTGTTCAAAGATGGTGTTTTCTCAGGAATTCTACCTGGGCTCAGCATCCACATGCAATACCTAAAAAGCCAAATTGTGGTTACTTTTCCCCCAGCGGAGGATTGCTGCCTGCCACCATCTTGCAGTACCCGTCATCTTCTTCAGCTCTCCACGTTCAGCTACAACCTCAATTTCCAAAACCGCTGCTGCAAAGGAGAGCACTCACACAGCCCCCAGATTCGCAGCACTTCCACCCCACAGCTGGCTTTTATGTTTACTAGGGGAGAAGCCCAGCTCGCACTGTAGGGCAAACCGTAGGGCCTTTGCTTTGCTTCCATTTTGTGTGAGGGAAGGGGCCATTTTGTGGGCTCCTCAGGGGAGAAATAAACAGGAACACGAGGGCTCCAAATTCTGAGTGCGACAGCACGCGGCCGGGTTCAAGGCACAGCGAGGCTCTCAGGGCTTCTCAGGCACGCACGCCCTCAGCCTTCGCTTGGAGCTCAGCGAGGCGGAGCTGCAGGCCGGACTCGGGAGAGCTGAGCCCGCCGGGCCTGCAGAGGGCTCCCGCGGCCGCGCTGCTGGAGCAGGAGGCGGGCAGCGGCCTGCGGCACCGGGCTGGGGAACGGCCTCCATCCGGCCCGCGGTGCGCCCTGGGCGGGCAGGGCGGCGCGGACAGCGCGGTGCGTCCCGCGGCCTAGAGCGGCCTGCAGCCATGGGGAAAAAGGGGAAGAGGGAGAAGAAAGGGAAAGGGGCCGAGAAGACGGCCGCGAAGATGGAGCGGAAGGTGTCCCGCAGGGCCAGGAAGGAGGAGGTGAGGGGAGGCGACGGAGGGCTCCAGGAGAGCACGTGTTCTTCCGTATCCCCCGTGCTTTTCTTCTGGCCTTAATTAACAGCAAACGAAGGCCGGTCCCGCAGAGTTGGTGCGTGCGTTTGGGATCTTTCCCTGGTTGCAGCGTGTTGCTGCCAGCTGTGTGTGTGGCTCCAGGAAGGGGAAGCGTGAGCAGGGAGAGCTGCTGCCACCGTGCATCTGCTGGGAGGGAGGATATAAACGGGGTGTTTGTGAGGGTGAATCGTGACAGGACAAGGGAATGGTTTTAAACTGAGACACGGGAGGTTTAGGTTGGGTATTAGGAGGAAGTTTTTCAGCCAGAGGGTGGTGAGGCACTGGTTGCCCAAGGAGGCTGTGGATGCCCCAGCCCTGCAGGCATTCAAGGCCAGGCTGGATGTGGCTCTGGGCAGCCTGGGCTGCTGGTTGATGACCTGCACACAGCAGGGGCTTGGAACTGGATGAGCATTGTGCTCCTTTTCGACCCAGGCCGTTCTGCGATCCTATGAAGTGTTGGCTGATGGAGGAACGTGCTGAGCGTGGGGCTTCAGGAGGCACTGTGCAGCCTGGTATGTGTGCTCTGTGGAGGCAGACAGTAATTGACAGAACTTTGAGGGGAATAAAATTAGGTGCGGGTTTCCCTCCCGTTCAGTTTAGGTAGGACTCCATTGCAGACAAAGGTCTGGTTGGGGCATAGCGTGGACCTGGTCATAATTTAGCTGGAGCTTACGTGATCTCTGTTTCCTTGTTGGTTTGATCACTCTTTCTCCTGCAGGGGTTGCAGGTGTGCACAGAACAACACACTGTGTGTGCCATCCTGTTAGGCCTTTTGTGAGCAAACTTGTCATGGTTTTAGTGGGGGGAACAAATTTTAGGACATGTGGAAGTGCTCAGCATCCATCTCTTGTAGGCGGTATCTAAGCAGATTTTTTTTAACGTTTCTTTTAAAATGGGGAAATTCTGATTCTGAATGCTGGTTTCATGTGGTGTGCAGGTGGTTCTGTGCAGATCGAGGAACTCAGGTCTGTGTTTCTATTTTCAGGAGGACCTTGAAGCACTGATAGCTGAGTTTCAGACTTTAGATGCTAAAAAGACCCAAGTAATTGAGACGTCCTGCCCACCTCCCTCACCCAGGTAAGAGATTGTGCAAGGCTTTGGCTGTCACTTACACAGCTGTTGATGAGATTTATTTATACCAAGTTATTTCCTGAGAGTGGAAGGCATAATAATTGGCTTGACTGATATTTGGAGTTAGAAAATACCTGATACATTGAATCCTTGGGTTAAAAAAAGAACCAAAAACATTATTTTTTTTCCCCTTAAAATACCCCTTTTTATCATCCCACCAACACAACTGTGAAGGGAAAGATTGGTTAAATTAAAGAGCTTATTAAAAAAAAAAGAAGTTAAGAGGAACCTTTGAACTTGGATGAGGAATCTGAAACAATCTGAAAGGTCTTGAGTCAAAAGGATGTGTCATGAGTCCAAGACATTTGGGGTCTACCTGCTGCTATGTTCTGTGCATTTCTTCACTGTGGCTTCCTAAAATCCCTTCTGTGTGATATGTTCTTCCTCTGTTTGGAGGGACAGGTCAGTGTACTACTGTTAATGTCACCAGGGTGCTGCAGTGGTCAGTTTGTGCCCTCCAGCAGCGCTAGGAATCTGTCTCCACATGATGCAGAGCACCTTGGTGGTACGTAGCTGAGTTGTGAATGTTGATGAGTGCAGAAGAATGACACAGATAAGTTGATATGAGGCAGCCTAGTTCTACCAATAGCTACGTGCTCTCATAAAACTAATTTCTGTTCTTGACACATCAGCATTAAAATTCAAGAGCTCACGTCAGAAGGCATGTTAAATGACAGTGTAATGTGTGTTCCTAAAATAGGAGAAGGTTTCAGACGGTGTCACATTAATCTTGCTGGAAGTTTTTCAGAAGTTAATTTCTTTGGGGAGCTTTTCACCCTGGGGTGAATATCAGAGCCTGGTAATTTGGCAGCTGATGGAGAGACCTTTGTGGCTAGAGGTCAGAATGCTAGTACTGGCTTAGTTAAAGGCTACCAGCCTCAGTTGTCTGAAGTCTTTTAACATCTGCTGTTTTGGTCATCCATCTCTTGTTTGCAGGCTGAATGGCTCCCTGTCTGCCCACCCTGAGAAAGATGAATTGATCCTTTTTGGAGGTGAATATTTCAATGGCCAAAAAGTAATGTATACTTCCATTTTTTTCTTCTTTATTCTGCCCTTCCCCTGCCTTATGCTGTAATTTGCACGAGTCTCATTTGAAGTGAAGATTCAAAGCAGCAGTCATAAAATATGCATTTGTCCCCGAATGAGAGCAAAATAGCCTTTTAATTCTGCCACGATACTGTCTTATGCCTGATCGGTTGGCAGGAAGGAGACATGCTAGAATCCATTAAGAAGTCAGAGTGATTGTCTCAGCATCAATATTTCAGGGCTTCATAATTTCTCCAGACTGAATAGTAGCCATCTCTGCCCCTCATTTTTGATAACTATTGGAGAATCTCTATTTTCCAACTTTCAAAACAAGATGTTTCTGCAGTTTTGCAGCTGGCAAGTCATTGCCTGCCTTGGAGATGCGTACAGTAGCAAACAAGGGGGCACTCTTTACTGAATATCTGCAAGTTGCAAGTGTTTACAGTGCTGCTGGAGACAAATTGGGCATTCCAGCCTTGAGAAGTTGTGTGTACCGTAGCTTGAATGCTCAAGCCCAACGATGGTATTTAATCTGAGGATCATCCCGTGTGATGTGCTAAACTAATTCTGCTTGTTTCACTACCTGATGTTCTTCCTGTCTCCGCAGTTGAGCAGCATTTCGGGCAGCATTAATCTGTACATCTGTGTTAAGCTCCAGCTTAAGTGCTGAAATCTCAAGCTGTCACAGGGTTAAACGAGAGTTTGGGAGAGAACAGCTGAGTCGAGAGGCTCACACTGAAATAACTGTTGACTACCAGTCTAGTGGGAGAGGTTCTTTTTCTCCTTCCCTGTGTGATGGAGGCTGGTGAGCTGTTGCTTTGCAAGGCTGTCGCTTTTCAAGGCCAGGTTGGCTGTGGCTTTGAGTAACCTGATTTAGTGGAAGGCGTCCCTGCCCAGGAGGTGAGGGGTTGCTCTTTAAGTTCCCTTCAACCCCGACCATTCTGTGACTCCAAAGGGAAAGCTGGTACCGTGCACCTTTAACACCAAACTCACAGCTAACCCTGAGTGGTGCTTGTGCTTGGGTAGACTAATCCTGTCCTGTGGAGAGCTGTGTTGATGTGTATCTTTCTTCTCCTCTATAACAGACATACCTGTACAACGACCTGTATCTTTACAACATCCGGAAAAACAGCTGGACTAAAGTAGAGATTCCCAACCCACCCCCAAGGCGCTGTGCTCACCAGGTGAGGTGCAGGGTGCCAAAGAAGCAGCTGGAATTTTTCTGATGCTGTGCTAAAAATGAATGGGAGTTGACTTTTTTTTTTTCCCTAAGAGTTTCTGGCTTTGCATTTTCATTGTAATGGGCTGCCAGTGGTGTCACCTTTCTTGTTGTGCTAATGGTGGTGCTCTTTGATCCCTGAGTGATGTCTGGAAATGCTACAGGGAAAGTGAAATATTGGAGGTGTATCTGTTATGTCAGCAGGACTCATGGGGAAGCTGTTTTTGTCTAGATGGACTAGTCATCTTGAGGCATTATATGGAAACCAGCTCAACCATTCCAGGCTTGTTCTGGATTTTCATTAGAATGTGACCAGATAGCTCTGGGGGCCTGGGTTGCTGTGTGTGATCAGTGGCTGCAGGCCTTCCCCTGTGGGTGTTACAGATCCCACTGCTCTAGCAACAGCTCATCCCTGTAATATACCCTTGCTAGCATGTAGGATTGTCCCAACTGTGCAGCCAGATACACTTTGTGTGCCCTGCCTTTGGCTCGGGATTTCATTTATTTAATTTCCCTTGGTAGATGGACTGTTTTTCTTCAGCATCAGCAAAGATAGCAAAGTTGTGTGAACTTTCTCTGGGATATTTTGAAACTCCCTGTAGTGGCAGTGCTAAGTCACAGCTTGAAGCAGTGATTGAGCACCTGGTGGGAAGGCAGGGCCAACCGAGGGGAGCTCAGGTGCGTGCAATGAACCTGAGTGACTGGAAGGGGTGGAGACATGATTTACCCCTTCCCAGCCCTCATGTAAGGGTTGGCAGTGGAGACAGGGGTATCTCTTGTTGGAGATCTTTGCTTAACTGAGGCCTTCTGAAGGCAAGCAGCTCTTTTCCTTCATTTCTGCACCTGTGGCTGCTGCATTTGGGCTCGTTCTCTTTTGCTGCAGCCAAAGACTTTGCCACCCTGCTATTGTTATGATACTTTCCATCCCATTATAGCATTACACTTCCCTAGGCTTTGTATCTGTCATTAACATCCCTGACTGGTCGTGATATTGAAGGATTTGTTTCAGTTTACTTTGTGTGAATGCCTGCACGCAGAAACTGGCCCAGAGACTTGTATTTTTTGCAGGTCATTTGCCCTCACCAGCTGTCTGATAGATTATCTTACCTATTGCAGCAAATGGCTGGGTGACTGCTGCATTTCAAAAGCTGCCATACAGGATGCGAATGTTATTTTCCTCCCTGTGGCCAAAGCCCTTTAGAGCTTCCTGGTAAGATCCAATGCTCTGGTTAGGTTCCTGTACCTTTGTTATGCTATTGCCTAAATGCCAGCCTTGCTCTGAGCTGTGTGTGTGCTATCATGAACTGAAAAGCTTTGACTCGATACTTGAGTTACCTTGTTGTGCTTAAAATTGATTGTTGTTTCAGAGGCCAAATTCCATAAGGAGGCCAGCAATTCAAATACTCCTTCCACTGAGGTGATAAGGAGGTTGCTTTCTGGCTGTGGAGTTGAGAGGTGCTTGTTTGTGTGTTGGCAGCCAGCAGGTGGCTGTCTAACAGCTCAGTCTGAACTGAGCAAGCAGGCTGGATTGTAGAGAAATAAAATGAGGAACATACCAGGGGAGCCGTGCCTTAACAACAAGTTTTCTGTCTTATAATTAATCACAGTCACACAGGAGGCAGTTCAGCCTCGTTAGCTGAATGGCTTGTTGTCTTCCCTGTGACTTTATTTTTAACACATTTCCCATGTTAGCTTAGAGGTAAAAAGAAGTTTGTCTGTGGGTTGGTATGGGCGTGCTTTCCTTCTTGTCATCTGTAGTCTCTGATGTACGGCCCTCTGACTTATGCTGGCTTCACCACATCAATTCAGTAGAACTGGAGTGAGAAAAGCCATGGATGGCTGTTGTCAGCTTTATTTGAGGAAAGATTTTGTCTGTGAGATGAGCTTGAAGCCAGCTCTTCACGAAGTTGCATGCAAGCATGGGCAGGCTGGTGTCTGTCCCTTCACTTAAACTTTTAATCACTTGATGCCCATGGAGACATGGGGTAACCTGATGTTCCCACAATTCCTGCTTGTACACACACCCAATATTTTCTGATGTATGTAATCACTGCATGCATGGGCTGGTTTGGGTCAGAGTGCTGTCGTGTTTGGTGCTGGAAGTCTTTGCTGTTTGCTGGATAAAACAGGCAGGTAGTGAAGCCCTTCTGCAGAGACTGTTAACTCAGTGTTTATCTGTGACAGGTATCTTGGGGGGAAAAAAGATGTGAAAGATTTTTTTTTTTTTGTAGTGTAACCACCCCTGTAGCCAAGGAATAAAGTTGTATGTTCACTTGGTTTCATTTTTGGGATTCCTGTCTTTTGCTGCTTAGTCCTGGTGTTCTTCATTCCTTACCTCTTAATATTCTCTTGTGTTACAGCAGGGCGTTTCAATGCTGCTCCATGCAGAAACAGTAAAACAAATTCTTTAATGCTCTCTTTTCTGCTACTTGCTTTAAGACAGTAACAATTCTCTCTTGTTCAAATACTGCACACTTCCTTCTGTTGGTGATTGTTTCTTTTCTTTGTTTTTGTTTCTTTTTTTTTTTTTCATCACATAGAGCAGTAATGCTTTTCAGGTCGTGAAAATGTTCAGGTTTGGACTTGCACTCAGCTCATTGGTTTACTTTGCTGTAGGGAAGGTGTGCTACACAGCGACCAGCTTAGGTTTAAAATTCCCCTTCATTCAGCCCCACAGAGCTTCTTTTCCAAGCAACGCAGCAGCAGCTGCTGCAATTTGTCTGCTTTGTGGTATTTGGAGGCAGCTGCCCATCTGACTGATAAAGTTCTCCTTTTTCTGGCTTTTGCACTCTTGTTTGATCCTGTTCTTTCCTCTGGCAGGCAGCAGTGGTTCCCACAGCCGGTGGGCAGCTCTGGGTGTTTGGTGGAGAGTTTGCATCTCCCAGTGGGGAACAGTTTTACCATTACAAGGATCTCTGGGTCCTGCATTTGGCCACCAAGACCTGGGAGCAGATCAAGTAAGTGGTGCGTTCTCAAGTCAGTAACAATAACCTCATGAGGAACTGTGTCAGCATGGTCTGAACTCGGATCCTGGTGTGGTGCTGTGATTTCCCAGCTGTCTGCCCATCTCTCCTTTGGGTATGAAGATGCCCATGTAGAAATAGTGGAGAGGACAGCCTTCAGAAAAAAGGGGAAGCAAGAGATGTGTCCAAGACCATCGAGGTCAAAGTTATTTTGTATAATGCATAGCTATTAGAGCAGGGGTATTGGGTCTTAGTAACTGAAGAAATGAGCATGCTGAACACTACTGTGTCCTCCCAGCCAAGGCAGATGTAGGTATCCAACTTCAAAACACTACTTGTTGCTCCATTTGTGTTCTGTCTGAGCCTGGTATCATGGCTGTGCTGTACAAAAGATCTCATTCAGTTTTACCATTGCTTGAGAAGGCAGTTGGTATCTATCCACAGAGACGACTTCTCTCCTGATAACTGGCATTTGCTGCTGCCTTAAGATTCCTTGGAATAAACAGGCCAGGAATTCTGATCTATCAAGGTAAGTAGGTGCCAAAAACCCTGGAAGCTTTTGACTGGAGTAAAGGCACCTAAAAATATTTTGTGGGTCTGGCCTGAAGTCTTCTGCTAATGTTTGGCTTCTGAGTTTTTTCTGCTCATCTTCATATTTGCATTAGGGAAGGAAAAAGTCTGGTGGGTCAGCTGGTAAACTGAGAGGTAGGAGATGTGGCTTCAGTTCTGACCGTGGCACAGGCTTTCTTTTGTACTTCAGGATTGTCTTGACCACAGCATTTAGCCAGAATACAGCCTTGGCTGTGCTGAAACTCCTCCACAGCTGACTCTTGAGGTGCTACTGGGGAAAAGCATCAGCTTTTGAACGCTTGCTCATCTACTTTTTATCTGTCAAGCTCCTGAGCAGGAACTCTTGTGTCCTTGCTTCAGGTGGGAAAGCCCGAAGTGTGCCCAGGCTAATCAATTTTTTGCCCTGCTTACAAAGTGCAGGTGCCTGTTGTTGGTGTCTGTCCTTTCTTGTGTGATGATTGAGAGGCTGGTTTAGGGCTGAGCTGTGCAGAGATGGATACCTTGGCACATGCCTCAGGCCACACAGTGACTCACTGTGCCTGTCTGCCTTTTTTCCCCCCTTTTTGCAAAATGGGAGCACTGATGTTGCTTGATGAGAGGGAATTTGGAGGTTTAGTTTTGTTAATATAGCACTGAAAGGACTCTGGCATGGGTGTAGTGGGTCATACTGAGCCAAAGAGCAAATAGTCCTGGTGAGTCCAGAGTGCGCTGGGTAAAAAGGATGCTTCAAGGCACAGGATCCTGGCAGTCATCAGCCCTTCAAGAGTCTAGCAATGGTCTTTTTGAGTACTTCTGGGAGGCTGGGGGGAGAGCTGCTCAGTTCCTCAGTGACTGGTTCCTATCTGACAGTGTGATCCTTGGCTCCAGACCTGGCAGTGTTAGTCTAACAGCAGCTGCAATGGTTTCAAGAAACTGAGTTTACTCTAGTGAGCCCTGCTTGTCTTTCAGCAGTGGGGGGGGGGGGTGAGGGAATCTCTGCAAAATGATAGAGGGCTCTTTAAGAGGTGCAAGGATTAAAAAGACCTGTCACTGTGCAGGCAGATCTGCCTATTGTTGTTAGGCAGAAGCTGACGTCATGGCTGTGACTGTACCCCTCCCAGCTCCCCCAAAATAACTTCTGAATCCCTTGTTCCATCTCAGCCACGTAAAGGGGGTTAGAACTCAAATGCATTACATCCCTTCTAGTTTTGTGAGAGCAGGCGGGGGAGAGGAAGTGATGATACCCATGGAGGCTCTGCTGAGAGAAAGGGTTGACATTTCAACCAAACTCTTGGTTGGAAAAAAGTCCTCACCAGAGAGCAATGTTAATACCCAGCTGCAGGGAGAGCGAGGGCGGGAGATGGCTTTTTGTGAGCCATCAGAGAACCCAGATGAGGCTTCGTGAGTTCCACCAGTGATGGTGCAGATTGTTCTCTTGTGGGTTCGCAGATGTGTTGCTGTGAGCTGATTTAGGGTTTTCCACTCCCCAAACAAATGCTGCAATGTGGAACCTGCTTGGGAGGAGGAAATCTGGTCGTCAGAAGGCTTCACTCATCTTGCATCTTATCCCTCATGGTATGGGGATGCTGAGTCTTACTGGTGCTGCAAGATCGCCTGCTCCCACTCTGCAGCTGAGCATGATGTTTGCATGTGCTGCAGTGTGCAGGGCAGCATCAGCAGTCCCAGGCCCCAGGTGGATTGAGCCATGGTGAGGGAACTTGTTGGAAGCCTGTGATGGGTTAATGTGGTTAGTGAGGAGGGAGAAATTGATCAGATGAGCTCCTGCTCTCAGGATAAGCAGAAGCACATTCCCAGTGCTTTGCTTTTCGAGCTGTCTGAAGCTGCTCACCACCCCTGGGTTACCCCGTGTCACTTCAGCAGCCATGACACAGTAGAAGGATGCATGGGGAGGCTGTGATGCTCTGTTGTTCTCTTCATAGCTAAATGGATAAACGTTTCTAAAGTTTGCTCTGGGGAGGCTGTCGTTCCTCTTTCTCTACGCCATGCAGGATCAACTCCGATTGAGTTTTCTGAGGTTTTTGGGTGGACATCCGTCTTTTGGCCTTGCTGTATTTTGAAAACACCTGTGCCCTGGTCCCAGTGTTCAAATAAAACAAAGTGCATCTTCTCTTCATCCTTGGGCAGAGCTCCAAGAGCTACATTAATTAGGCGTCTGGAGTAGGAGGCTGTGAGGAGATGTCTTGGTTTTAATGCTAACTTGGCTGAGTGTGAAAATCAGGTTTCTGCTGCCTCTTTGTGTTTCCATATGGCATCACGATGACAGCCTGCTTGGAAGGGGAAGAAGAAAAGAAAGGACAGTGATGATTGTTGAGTTTTATGAGGAATGTTTTTGTACTTCTTTATGATTGTCACACATGCTGCATTGTGCTTCCTTCAGCAATTTGTTTTTATTGGCGAGGACTCCACTGCTGCCTCATACAGTTCCATACAAGCTTCTCATGTCTGTCTGGAGCCGAACGCTACGTTTGGACTGGGGATGAGTGATGATAGTGGGTAGCTTGAAGGATTACTGGTGTTGGGAAGGTAAATGTTTGGGAAGATGGAATGGGTGAGGCAACTTGTGTAGCCTTGTTGGCATAGAACAGGCTACCAAGTAGCAGGCAAAGCACTAATTACGTGTGTCCAGTGTGGTAACAGCTACCTGAGTAAACCCTGTTGATAAACATTTGGGAGACAGAGTGTTATTGAGTAGACTCGGTTGGGTCTGGGAGATGTCACTTTAGTGCAGAAAAAGCAGTAATTTTGTTACTCTAATAAGAAATGCTTGGATGAGAGAGACAAGGTTTCCATCTCCACTCCACCTGGGATGGATCACCCAGCTTCAGTTGAGTTGGAATGAGTTTGTAGAACGGAATTAGTAGATTAAATGGCTAAAATGACCCTACTCTGACCTGAACTTGCAGTTCTAAGAAGTCTGGCTATTCCAGCCTCACAGCTTAGATTTCAGACAGCTGTGTTGTCCTTTCTGGCCTGCAGATTCTGTGAGAGACCATCTTGGTGCTCTAAGAAGCTTGACAGTAAAATGCTTTGAAGAGAATCCCTTGAATAACTTACCCTGTGCTGTGTCTGCAAAGGCTCCTGGGGAAATTGATCTCCGTTACTGCTTAATGCAGAGCCACAGCGATGTCAGTCAGCTTGGCAGAGTTAAAAATTGACAGCAGCTCTATTTGGTTGTGTTTTGCCTTCACAGAGGTGGCTCAAATGCAACAAATCTCAGCTCGTTGGATGACGTGCCAGGAAGTGATTTTGACTTACTGGGGCCACCTTATTATGTGTGCGATGTGTGAGGTTTCCCCAGTGTGTGAAGCGTTTGTTACTCTGCCTTGGAGCAAAGCAATATTTTAACCTAATTGCCTCATTCCTTCCTAGAGAGAGCATTCCTCCTGTTCACCTTCGTGTGGCCCAGAATGCTCCCTCAAAGAGAAATGGGGGGTGTCACACATCGGGGCTGTACTTGGGAGCTGGCAGATCCCTCCATGCAGTTCTCCGCCTTGCTTCTGAACCTATGTAACTCCCTTCCCTTTAATACTGGGATGCTAATGATGCTTCACAGTTTTGTGAGACGTGGGGCTATAAATACTTCAGGGCAATGCAAGTGTATGTTGAGTGTTGTTTACGGGGAGAACTGGAGCAGTGGCTGCAGGATGCCTTTCAGTGTAGGTTTGTTTCTGACTGATGGCTCTTGTTCATGTGCTCTCTGTCACCAGAAAGATCACGTCCTGCAGCACAGGGTAGAAAGGTGTTTTGATGCTTAAAGAGGGGAGTTCTGGTGTGCTGTTGAGCAGACTTCCTTTGACAGACCAAAAGGGATCCTTCTGAGCTTCTTCTCTCCTAGAGGAAGATCCAGACGTGTGACTGTTGATTGACTTTGTGAAGGATTTGATCTGGGGGTTTTGTGCCTCGTAGCAATTTTGTATTCACTTGTGTACCTCTGAATTAATTACACAAGTACATGGGTGCTATATCTCTGTGTGCTGATGAACAGAACACTTGTCATTTGCATTTACAAGTGTGAGATGCAAAACCAAACACCCAAGTCCTGGATTTCAGCTGCTTTGTGTAGTGCAGAACAGTGTGTGTTATCCTGGAGTGCCCCTTTGGTGGGATGTTGCATGCATCATCACTTTTTTTCATAATGAGAGGTTGCAGAGATTCTTCTGAACTTTCTCTGGGTGAAGGAAGGAATGAATGAAAGAGTAACTCACTCATGCAGTCTGTAGATACTGCAGCATGGAAGTCATTAATTCTCAAAACTGGAGCTGAATTCAGATCTGCTATATTACTCTAAGTCCCAGAGTAACTCCACAAGCAACAGCAAATTCCTTATGGAGCAGTTGAGATCAGACTCATGCTTCCATGTGTAGAGCCAGTTCTTATCCAGACTTATCTGTTCATCTATTTTTAAAGAAGAGTCTGGAGAATTTACGGCTCCCTCCCACATGTCTGCTTTCTGGTGTCAACCCCACAAAGTAGTGTATTAATCATAACGTCTGTGAAACCATTTCCAAAATGTTTATTTTGGGCCACGAGCAGCAATGCAGGTAAAGGGAGACAGTCTGCATCTGGGAAGCAAGGCTCTGGGCAAATGCCTTCCTGGAGCTGCTGCTTGTGCATTCTTATGGGCTGTGGAGCAAGCCCTGGGCTGTATGAATTGCTCCCAGCAAAAATACCTTCTAAGAGCACTTACTGCATGCTTAAGAGGGCATCTCTTTCCATCAAAGGCTATGAAGTGCCCATTGCAGCTGATTCCTGGATGGTGAGTAATGCTTAAGTTGATAAAGCTGAGATGACACAACAGGGCGCAGCGTGAAGCCTCCTGCAGCTGTGTTTTAGCATCATCTCTTGTAGCTTGCATCCATATTCTAGAGAAAAGGGGAGAACAGCCTTGTAATTGGGAGCAATTGGTGGTGGTGTGGTGGGACTCCTCTGAACTCAGATCAGGCCCTGTTTGGGATGGTGGTGGTTGTGACTTGGAGTTAATTGTACACTTGTGGGAGCGCGTTTATTACAGCACACGCGTCAGTGAATAAATGTCTTACCAGTCAGAATTGGTTTTTGACTTGGAGATGTGTTTGAGAAGCAAGGCAGAAAGTATTCCCTGAGAACAAGATCTTATTGTTAACGTCGACATCTAATTCCTTCTTTTTTATTTTTATTAAAAAAAAAAAACAAAACAAAAACCAAGCTTTCTAAAAGATGACATCCCCTGGAATAATGACATAAAAGTTTTGTTATGAAAGATTTCATCCACATCTGAAATCATTGTTAATATGAAAAGTGATGTTCTGCTGGGTGGTACTTAAAAATCCAGTAAGTGCCTAGAAAATTCTACTGTCTGTCCTCATAAGAAATCCAAGAAATCAATATTCATTCAGGCTTACCCAAACACTGCTGTTCTGCTTGGGGTTCTTCATTATGGCTGGTGTGATTGTTAATTCTGATGGTGAGGCCCCTCATTTTCTCTCTCTGCAGAAATCTATTGCTGCTCTTTGCAGCTACCCACTGCCACGTATAGCACAGAAGTAGGGTTGGGGGTTTAGATTTTGCTGTTTTTTCTCAGTGGTGAGCAGGTTTCTCATTTATTTAAGCCCTGATTCTGCAGCCATCCGACATGCCTGTACCTCCTTGAGAAGCCTTACTGAGTTCAGTGCACTGTGGGCGACTCCTTAGCAAGACTGAAAACGTGAAAGATTAGTCCAAGGGGCAGAGAACATGCAAAGCTCTTGTTTTCTCTGTGGTTTGCCCTGAACTAGCCTTTGTTTTGGGTGTTCTTCACGTTTTCTTTGTTCTCTCTCACATGAAGGCGTGACTGCAGGTGATGAAGAAGGAAAGTGCATCTTCATTGCCTCTCAGGAACGTTGTTGCCAGCGGCCTGGCTTTGCCCAAAGCTTTAGGATGTGACAGATGGGGTGTTGTTGCTTGTTCTTGGAAATGGAAGTGGCACATCTCACTGAAAGGCCATGCGGGCTTGAAAAGAGCAGAGCAGTGATGTGTAGCTGCTCCTTTAATAAGTAAGATGATAATGATAACTTGTTTTGCCACTGTGCCTTCTGTTCTTGAGGAAACCTGAGTAATTTATCAAGTTTGGTGGTGTAGCCTAGCTGCAGGTTGTTGGGTGGGGATAGAGTGGATAGGGGTGATTTCCTATGACAGTGAAGGAGGGTAGATATCAGAGCCAGTTCCTGGCTTCTATCTGCTACTTAGGGTAAACATCTCTGTCTGGAGTGCTTTTCTTGAAATTGTGGGAGTTAACTGCTATTCATTAAACTCTCCTGAAGAATTACCTCCTGAGTCATAGCAGAAAAGACTTCAAGACTCAGGTGCTGTTAGACTGTATGGTTTATCGCTAGGAATAAAACTGTTATTTGCACCACAGGCATTTTGCAATATCAAGCATTACAATACCAAGCATTACAGGAAGAACACGTGTACTGTTCTGGAAAAAAACATACATCTATGTTAAGGTGACAAAGTTCCCTATGATTTCCCATGCCTGTACCAGAAGCTAAGCTCAGCCAGTCCAGCTGCCTTATGACTTCAATAAAAATGGGCTGACCCACTGGTAGGATGGGAAGCTTGCTGATGAGTGAAATTTCTTTGTCTTTCAGAGCATCAGGAGGTCCCTCAGGAAGAAGTGGGCATCGAATGGTTGCTTGCAAAAGACAACTGATGGTCTTTGGAGGTTTCCATGAGAGCACGAGGTGGGTTATTGCAGGATGGCTGGTGGTGTTTGAACCTGTGTAACTGAGACAACGTGATTTCACCAGCAACTGCAAGCTGGGCTATAAGGCCAGGATTTTATGTAGTGGTACTGTGAACAAATTATATGATTCTATGTTAGAAAGATAAGTGATCTTGATTTTTTTATTTTTCTTTTTTTTTTTCCCAAGTCTTAACTGTTTGAGAAATGGTTTTGCCACTTACATAATCACTGAAGTAGCTCCTCATCCTCATAGCTAAAGCTCAGTACATCGGTTTTGGATTCTGCCTCTCATCAAAGAGGCTTCTCTTCCTAGAAACATCTTCCCCAGTAGGCTCTCCTATGCCACATGAGGTCACAGCTTCTCTGTGATGAGGGCTGAAGGGAGCTGAGCTACATAATTTCTCAGAGGTGCTAAGCTGCATAACTGCAGTCCCCAGGAGCACAGCACAGTTTGCAAAGCCTACCCTACACTTGGCTAACTGGCAGTTTCACTGGTGCAGAGCACTTTCTATAGCAGTGAGTTGGCTACCAGGAGGAGAGTGTGTGTATGTATGTGTATGTATACATTTTTCATTCCCACCCTCTAGACAGATGTTGCACTAATATGTTTTGATCGTTTGTGTTTTGGTTGAAGTCACCTTGGATTGTGTTTCTTGGAAAGAGTTGGTGAAAGCTCTGTTATAATAGGGAATGAGGTGGGAATAAAACAAAAAGAACCAGAGAGGTCATGCATGTAGGAGCTTCATTAAATACATAATTGTTGCTCTGAAGTAGTAACCTTCAACTGAACAAATCTCTACATTGCCAAGGCTACAGAGGGAGGAAAAATCAGAGATATGGGGAGTTGAATAAGGTACTGCACCTCTTCAGAGGTTTGTGGTGCTCCTGCTGAAGTGGTATTTTGTTCTGTTCTAAACGATGACCGTGACCAAAACCTGTCATGTTCCAATTTGCTCTCCCTAGAGATTACATCTATTACAACGATGTGTATGCATTCAGTTTGGACTCCTTCACGTGGAGCAAGCTGGCTCCATCAGGAATTGGGCCTGCTCCAAGGTCAGGATGTCAAATGGCTACCACACCTGAGGGCAGCATAGTCATCTATGGAGGCTACTCGAAACAGGTAGGAGAGACTGTGATAAGCCACTGCAACATTTCCCAAATGCCAAACAAAATAGTCAAGGGAAAAACTAAAGGGCTAAAATGGAAGTTAAATTTAATATTCAAATTATGTAAATAGCACCTTAGTGATTACCTTGACCTGTGTTGGTTGCAGGGTCCTGTGTCTTGTCTGCTTGGAGGAGGCAGTAGGAGAGCAGAATTCAAATGTGTAATCTGCCACTTCCTTCTGCTCTGTTTCACAAGTGCAGATCTGGTGATCTCATCGTGTAACTGCCCGCTGCTCTGATATTGCTGCATGCCAGGCAGCTGTCAGATGTCCAAAAAAACACTAGCAATGGGAGTGCATGTCAGCCTGTGGTTGTGTGTGGGAGTGACTGTGCAGTTGTGCCCTTGTGCTGTTCATACATGGGATGGTTCAGGCTGCTGGGAGCCAGTATTGTTACCAAATCTATCTTCTTGTCTTCTGACTCTCTTCCCTTTGTTCCTGCGGTTGTGTCCTGATCAAGGGTCTGATTTCTGGTAAAACTAATGCTCTATTTTCCCTGCTAATCTAATCCAGCATAGGGAGGTGATGTTACAAAGGAAGGAATAAGCAACTGGGAGAAGTGACATTTCTGATAACAGCTGTCATTGCTGCCAACTTCAGGCATTCTTAGCACTCAACCATGTTCCAGCACTTGTGGCTTAAAAGCAGCAGTTACCAGGGGCCTTGTATTTACTTGCATCAGGGAAAGGGTTAAGGCAGCTGTGCTTGTTAGCAGACTCAATAAGCCAAAGAAGACTTTTGACGAGTACCAGGCTTCCTCTGCTTTGCTTCTTGCTATGTTAATCGTGGTAATTTATACTGGATAGGCCTTTAGACCGTATGTCCTTATTGACCAAGTGTCCCTGTCTCCATGCTGGGTGGGAGGAAGTAAATATTTCATTGAGCAAAAGGCTCCTGCAAAAAAAAGCTTTTAATGTTGTGAATGTAGACTGAAGACCCAGATCCTGCTGCTGCTGTCTCAGTGGAAAGGCATTGCTTCCAGGGGGAGGAGGGCGCATTGTTCTTGTGATGTGAATAGAAGAACAAAGAAGAAAAGCATGGAAAGAGGAGAGAAAGTAGTCTGTCTGTATATTTAGAAGCATTTGTGCCTCCTCACGGCCTGCGCTGAGGGCTCTAACTCCTCAGATGTGCACTTGATTAAATAGCAGTAGCAGTACAGAGGCATTTTCTGCCCAAAAGGGCTTTGTCTGCTTCCTGTTCCACCACTCCTGAGTGGGAGAAGCCTGCACACTTTACTAGGTTTGGCTCTCTTAGGGCTACTGAAAGTAACTGGGTTTCAAGTGCGTGTGGAGTCCCTTGGAAATATAAAAGTTGACACGTTTTTGCAGTTAGGTCTATTCTGCTTTATGAGGATAGGCTTTGTTGCACTGCTCTGGGTTGTTTTGAGCTAATAAAAATGAAGTAGAAGGGATAGAGGAATGCAAAGCTGCCGTCAGCCTTCTGCTGTGATAAATGAGCACTCAGCCTTTATGCAGAGTACTGAGCAAGAATAAGAGCTGGATGCAGTTCCTCTTTGGCTTGGCGAACAGCTCTTAGATTAAAACAAGCACTCTTGTTATTAATCTACTTCCTTTGTAGCACAGAGAGCTGAGTCTGCTGCTCTGACGTGCTGTTCCTGTCGTAGGCTTTGCTTGCCTTCTGCAGCACAGGTGAACTTTTGGGCAGGGAGAATGAAGCCGAGCTACAAACTGAGCAGAGCACCAGACAGTTTTCTTCTTCTTGGGATGCAAAGGCAACAGACTTCAGCATCATCCTGAAAATTTAGTTCAAGATTTAAGTCTTCTGGAATAAACACAGTTGATGTTTGGCTATCTAATTCTCAGTATGTCTTTGCTTGTAACTGATTATGGAGCTGAATCTCTCTGGATTTTCTTTGATGTGAAGAAAATGTTTGGCTTGTGTCCTCCCCACGGAGTCATTGGCAGGGATACTCAGGGGAGGAGTAAGAGATGGAAGATGGAAGAAACAACCCTTAATTGGAAGTAGGCAGGTAGAGAAGACCTGTCCTTTGTCTCTGGTTAGAAGCAGATGCTACATTCAGGAGTATTCTGAATATGTTTTTGGGCTTCACGTGTGGATATGAAATCAGACAGGTGTCCAAATAAAGCGCCGTTTGCCAAGTCCTGTAGACCCTTCTAATTTCCTTTCTAACAAAAAGCAGGATTGATTTTCATGCATGCTGTAGAAAAGTGCAGTTTCGCTTCCCACAGCTGCTGCTAAGCTTGTGTGTGCTTTGGAGAGAAGGGAAGAAGTCAGGACTGCTCCTGTGTTGGAGTACCAGGGCAGGATAGGCTGCCAGGTTGCTGGAGGAGAGTTACAGTGTGGTAGGGCTGCTTCCCTGCAGTGGGCAGTTCTGATGCGTTGGATCCTGTACAGCCCTGAGCCCTTGTAAATCTGCTTTGAGGCGTTATGTGGTGAGAAATACGCATGTTGTCAAAACAAAAAGGCCTGTAAGCCCAGGAGATTCATAGTAATGGGTGGAATTGTAGGCATTTGTGTACCAAGCTGGCTGTCAGGGCCTTATGAAGCCTGAGCAACGTTGTCAGCTTGCAGCCATGGGTGTTTCTGTGCTCAGTCTGCCCATCCTCAGCCTCCAGCAGAGAGGTTTGCTTGGTACTTTGGTTTGCTTGATATGCATGCCGAGCTGAGCACGGAGGGTCAGTTTTCAGTGATGTTTGTCAGTCCAGGCTGTGTTGCTGAATTCCCTTGGTGTCACTTGGCTAAGAGTCTCTTTCATGGCTGGGGAAAAAAGCAGGCAAGATAAATGGCTTGTCTGAGGCATTCCAGTACTTGTGGATAGAGCCAGGGCTGTTACCTTGGGACCCAGGCATGCATTTGCCACTAGATTTTGCTGTTCTAGGATGTTAAGTTCAGGCAGTGAGCATCCAGGATGCAAACAGAGAAGATGGAAAACTTGAGCTTTACAACCCCAAGTGTGCAAATTGAATAAGGGCACGCTTGAAAATACATGATCCTTAGCATGTTGGTGTCCTTATGTTCTTCTGCTTTATCTTCAACCCAGAAATGATAAAAGACAACTACTGTGGTTCCTTACAGGAGAGGTTGTTGTAGATTTTTGTCATCGCTCCCTAAATACGCCTCAGAAGCCTGTGAGACACTCAGACTTGCTTTCCTGCTGATCTCAAAGATGTCTTCACCGTTTCGCTTGCTTGGAATGGGTCTTGCTGCAGCAAGCTGCATTTTTGGCTGTATGAAGCAATGAGACCTCTCTATTGCTAGGCAACGTGAGCACACTGTGCCTGGCTGGCACAGCGAATGCAGCCAGGATGTGTTGGAGGCTAACACTGCTCTACCTTGAGGGTGGAAGCAGTCCATGAGCCATGGGAGCTCTGGCACTATCTGTGTGCAGGGCTTTTGGATGCCAAAGTAAGCTAAGGTGTATTTTTTTTTTTTCTAATATTTTTTTTCCTCCTTTTAGCAGTGAGCTCTGCTTGTAGTGGATTCTGCTGGGAGGCTGCTTGTGGGAGGGCTGAAGGCTGGTCTTGTGGGAAAGCTTCTCTCTGCAGTTCTGCTTGCTAAGGGCCTTCTGTCAGTTGGCTGTATTTTGCCACTGTTGGTCTCTTTTATTAGCTGTGTTTAGCAGCTTATATGCACTCTCTATGCTTCAGTTGCTTTGCTCTTTGAAGGTGCTTCTTGCTGCCTGTTGCTGGAGGTAGAGGATATCCAAGGCAGCTTTGTGCTTGAAAGCAACCACCTGGGACTCGAGAGCAAGAGGGACAGTGAGGGGACAGGAGGCTCCTGTGGCTGATGGAGTGATTTCCTCAGGGCAGATGAGTGTCCTGGGCTGGGGGAGTTGGCCTCTCTAGTATCAGTGTGCTGCTTGCTACTGAAGTGCCTGCTTTTGAGCCAGTGCGAGTGGGGAAAACAAGCATCTCTGACAACAAATAACTAACTCTCACTCCAGCTCATTGGGTTTTCTTAGCCCGAGAAGCTTTGTCGTGTTGTACACGTAATGTTTACTACAAGGAGCCTGTGTAGTTTTCAGGAGAAAAATAAAGCAATTATTCTGCCCAGCCTGCACGATGGTGAAGCCAACTGCTCTCTCAGTATATGTTGTTTCCCTTCTTTCCATGCAGACAGTGCTCATCTCACTGTGCTTGACAGCTGTGCTTTGCACCTTTCAGCCTGTGTGTCCCCTACACATAAGAATGTGGTGTGCCTAACACTGAAGTACAAACTGCAGCCTACCTGGGATTGGAAACAAAATAAACCCCCTTTCCATTCTCATTATCAGATATTCGCTTTGCAGCCATTGCTCTGTGTTCAAGCCCTGTGCCCATCTCTCTCCCCATTCCTCTCCTCTGTCCATCCATCCCTGACAGCTCTTTGCTTAGTTGCAGCTTGGAGGGTGTTTGAAGCAAGGGAGAGACTAAAAAGGCTGCTGTAGCTCAGCCATCCATAGCTTGCAGCTTGCTGGAGAGTTCTGCTGCTCTAGACTTCTGTGACAGAGACAGCAAAGTGTGACATGGCTGCAGAATGTTATTTGCTCTGTGCAGTGACTCATAGCCCTTTAAACTTGAGAGCTGCTGCTGTATGTCCCACAATATGTGCTCTTCCAGTACCATGGAACTGCTGTACTCAGTATTTAGAGCTCTGTTCCTAGAAGGCATTTCTTGCCCTGGCAACCTGTTCTGCTCAAAGTGGGCAGCTCCCAGCCCCTCCAGCTGTGTCTCTATTACCAGAGCTCCTCTAGCTATGTGTCAGAACTACTGACCAATGCAAAAACTTGACTTGCTTTTTTTCCGTGTGCTAGAGAACTGGCAGTGGCAGAAGAAGCTGTTTCTGTGCCTGTTCTTCTTCAGAAGATAGGCCTATCACTGCTGCTTGTTCCTGCAGGCTTTCTGTCCCAGTGTGCCTGGCGTTCTGCTGCTCAAGAACAGGGGGTAGAATAGTGTGGTTGCTGACTTCATTAAGGTTGTATACCTCCAGCTTCAACAGCCTGTCTGGGAGAGAGTGTCTTCCAGTGTGCTGCTTGGAATGCCTAGATGCAGGTGAAGAGCAAGATCTACAGCCCCAGACTAACATTTCCTAGGGCAGACCCTGGTCTCTGAGTTGACTGAAGCTTCCCTTTCCTTTTTGCTGCTCTTTGAACAGCATTCTCCTGTTTCTTCTAGCGCTTTATTATCAGCTTTCCCTGGAGCTTCTCAACATCATCCAAGTTCAAGTCTTGTTGTGCAGTGCCTCAAACGTGCTTTATTCTTCTTCCTTCTCTGCCTTTCTAAGAATCAAATACCATTCCTGAGAACTGAGTGCTGAGCCATGCAATAGCAAAACCTACTAAGCTCAAGGCACAGGGCTGAGTATGGATATGGAGCAAGAAGATGACACTGTGGCATGAACCCAAGCCCTACTCCTTCCCAAGCACTGGGCTCAACCCTGCCAGCTCCTGCTGGGATATGCTGCCTGGAGCAATGCCATTGCCCCCAGGAGGAAGGGATTACAAGGAAGCCAGAGCATCTTCTTGGAGGATGGGTGGATTGTGGACATTGCTAAAAGACCTCCTGTGGTGGTGTTGCATAGTGCTGCTTTCAAATACTGCATGTTGCTCTGAGTACAGGGGCTTACAGCGAAAGGAGAAAGGGAAACTTGCATTTAAAAATAATGCATTTAATTCCTTCAGCTGAGACCTGCTGCTTTTGCTGGTGTCTCACAGTTGCCTGTAGCAGGGGGTTAAAGTGAGGCTTCTGTTTCTATCCAGGAGGGAAAACTGATTCTTAAGACTCTGTGGTGCCTCAAATGCTACTAATGACACCTGCAGCCAGGCTGTGGGGCAGAGAGGACTCTGCTTCTGTTGCGTTGGGGTGGATATTGGGGGTGGCAAGGATTGAGAGTCTGTGCTTGATGCAGATCTGTATTTAAACTTGTGCTGTGCAGATGATACAGCATAGTCAGAGTGCTCAGCATTGAAGGACAGCATCCCAGAGGGCCTTGCCAGCACTGTTGGAAGTTACTGTGTGCCACTTTGGTGAGCGGGTATCTGCTCTCTTTTACAGCTAGAGGAGCAGAGGCACAGATGTTAAATTGCTCCCTCGAGAGAACCTGATGCTGTCTGTGGCACAGTAAAAGGCAGAATCTTGGCTCTCCTGTTTCCTTGGTGCTGCCCATCCTTCCTTTCTTGTAACATGATCAGTTTTAATCACTTGTGCCATTTTATTTCTCCTCTGTAGTGCCCAGATCTCTGCCCTTGCATTGATTTCATCCTGCATTCTTCAGGAGCCCACCAGTCCCACGATCTGTGCTGCAGCCTGGAGAGCAGAGGGAGGCTCTGGTTCTTGCAGGCAGAAGTTGCTTGTGGTTTATTACACGTCTCCCACTGCTCACTTGTAGGATGGCACTGAGTGAGGCGTGCTTGAGAATCACAAGACACCAGCCTCCATTTGTCCCTTCTGGCTGCCTCCATTGCCTCTGGATTTGCTGTTTGCTGTAGAAAATGGCCCTGGTTTCAGCACTGCAGTTGTGAAGTGCCTGGTGGTTTCTCCTTGCCCCTATCACAGTGTTTGCTTTTTCAGCACGGTGATGTACAGATTTAGGCTGTGATTAGGCTTATCTGTGGTGTTGAGAGTTCAGAATGGCATGTTTTGGTGTGAGTGACTTCCTAGGCCTTGAAGAGTTGTGCCTCCTGCGTTTTGGCCATTGAAAGTGTTTCACCAAGCATCCCTGTCTTTCCTTTCTTTGCAGAGAGTTAAGAAAGATGTTGACAAAGGCACCCTGCATACAGATATGTTCCTGCTGAAGAGTGGAGGCTCAGGCAAAGAGGAAGGTAAGCCACTGCTGCAGCTAGGGGGCCGTGCTGGAAGCGGTGCTGCAAGGCTGTGAATCCTCTCTCTTCTTTTGAATAAGAAACCAAGAAAAAATCCAAGCTCAGAACAAAATTTCCCTTTTAATGGTGAGCACTGTGCCCCAGCTTTTGCTTTGGGGCTAAACACAGCAGAGAAGTCGATTTAAATATTTCTTCTTTCCCAGGAGTAGTTAAGTGCATTTGTATACTGTGACTCTAGCTTGAAAAGAAAGGAGCTAGAGTGAAGGAATGGCAGCTGCTGAGAGATAGGAGAGAAGTTGTGTCCTACTTTTTCACTTGGGAATTGGAGGAAGAAGGTGTTCTATCATGTATACAGGCAACATTCCTGCTGCTGTGTTGTGTAGGAGAGAATGGGAACATAGTCTATAGGGCACTCACTTTTTCTTTTTCTCCCTGTCCATTTAAGGCCTGGAAAGATGAGGCCACATCATCTCTGCTAACCAAAGCTTAGTGGTTGGCTGAAGGGTGTTGGGAGTCGTGGTTCCCATCTCAGGTGACTTGATTACAGAGCTGATGTCAGTAGCTCTGTGAAACAGGCAAAGAACTGGAGCTATGTGAGAAACTTCATGGAGAACTGACAGAGCTAATGGAGGAAGGCTGGGAGGAGCTTTCTGCTGGAGAATCAGCATTATTTACATTGATGTTTTCCAGTTGGCCTTGGAATAGTCTGAGTTGGACTGGAGGGTCTCCAGGCACCTTGCATAACTGTGAGAAGTTCTGACCTGTGCAAGCAGTTCCATAAGAATTACCAGAAAAGATGTTAGGGATTTTTGGGGGGTTTGTATGTAGGAGGGAATTAAAACAACGTTTTGAAATTGCAGTTCCCTGGAACATTCTGATCATTGCTCTTCTGTTTCACAACAGAAAATCGTTGGGATTTCAGAACTTCCCACACTGGAAATTCCTGTTTTCAAGAAGCTGTTTTTAGTAGTGGTGGGTCATCTATAAACTATTAGGAGAGAAGGTGGGGGTGTGATCTCATGAGATTATTCAGTGCAGGGATATTACCAGGAATGGATTTTGGTTGACTGATTTTTGTTGTTTTTTTTCCCCATCTATCTGTGAATACCCTCAGAAATGGGGATTCCATCACTTTCCTTAGGAGAGAGAATTTTGTCCTTGGCTTAAGGAGCAGGATAATCTTCCTTGAGCAGATTTTCCAAGATGTTGAAGTAGTGACAGATTTCTTTAAACCCGGCCATCTTAATGTGGGATTTGGGGAGGAAGGTTGGTCAGGTATTGTCTGGATTGCAGACCCTGCTTGCATGATGTCCTATTTATAGCTTATCTTTTTGAATTTGTGGTTCCTTCAGAAACACAGTGCCTAGCCAGTGCACATGCTTCTGCCAGCCTGCATGTTAGGGATTTGCTCTAAATCCATAGTAAAGGAAAGGAAGGGAGTGAAAGCAGAGGGCTTGGAGCACAAGCTTTCTCCCTCTCCTGGGTATTTTATTATTATAATGTTTTTTTTTTAACATTTGGGGCTCCTTAAAATAAACTGTGGCTGTTCTTGGGGTTAAGGCAGCAGTGCAGAATGACAGAGAAGATACTGAAGTAGGAAGTTCACGTGGAGAGAATTGACGCCGTATGAAACTGTGGGGTAACCAGAGCACCTTCCCTTGGTGTCCTGGGCTATAATCAATCCTGGTTTGAACTCAAGCTTCCTGCAAAGTTTGTGTACCTTTCATGAGGCCCCTTGCTCCAGAAAGCACGCCCTGCAGACAGCTTTCTTCATTTGCTTTTGTTGGAAACACAGCTGCTTTCTAAGGGTAGAAGGAAGTGTGTGGATTGCTTGGGTGATTGAAGTGGAAATGCGAGTGGTTCTGATTTACATGATTGCTGAACGCGAGCAGTGCAGTTTTGAGTATGTCTAAAATGGGTTGTTGTGATGCTTGAAAAGATTGCTGGAGAACTGAAGGGTCTTGGAAGATGTAGAAATCATCATGATTCTCTTTTGCTGATAATTCTGTCTCTTTTTATCCATTACCAGATAAGTGGGTATGGACTCGACTCAACCCATCTGGTGTGAAACCCACTCCCAGGTCTGGCTTCTCCGTGGCAATTGGTCCCAATAACCGTTCCCTTCTGTTTGGAGGTGTGCATGATGAAGAAGAGGAAGAGAGCATTGAAGGGGACTTCTTCAATGATATTTATTTCTATGATATTGGGAAAAACCGTTGGTTTCCTGGACAGCTAAAGGTCTTGTTTAAGAACTACACAATTGTCTTCACTTCATTCTCCTTGATCTCCTTTGTCTCAACCTTTTCTGGCCTCATTTTGACAGTGTGGGCAAAGCCTCTATGTCAAGGCTGAGCCACCAGGTCTGTTTGCTGCTTTCATCTGTGTCTGATTGGCTGTGGAGATGGGAAAAGCTGTCAGGATGATGTTGGGGATGTGCAGCTTAGCAGGTTTTTGTTTCCAGATTGAATTCTCTGACGTTATGCTGCCCTTCTCCTTCCTCTCCACATAGCCCCTTGTATTTTCCATACCCTGCTTTCCCTGTGTGATGCAGACTGTCACCTGGGGAGAGAGGAAACCTCTGAGCCCCAATGGCTGTAAGGAAGAGCGGGTCAGGAAGCGGTCCTCTTCCTTTGAGAGTCAGTCTGCATGTGCCCTCTTGTTGTGTAATGCAAAATGAAGCAAAGCAGCATGAAAACAGTTCTGGTGTTTTACTGGAGGCTGGCTCCAGTCTAAGTCTGATGTGAGCTAGTTCAGTAAAAGCTATTGTGAAAAGGTCTTGTGTTGCATTGGGATAAAATAGCCTCCCTCTTTTCTCTGTTGTCAATGACCTGGCAGAAGGGATGAAGTATTGACCCTTGGCTCATGAGAAATTCAGAAATGCGGCCCTCAGATCTTTGGCTTTGTTTGAACCACTCTCAAGGAGGAAGCAAGGTGCTTCTTTCTTTTCATCCCTACTGTTTCTTGCTGCGTCCTCAAAAAAGAGATGTCAATCACATAATAAGAGGCAAACAGCCTCTCAGGTGTTTGCTTCTACCTTCCTAGCTGTCTGTTTCCTATCCTTTTTACACAATGCTTTGAAGACCTGGAGTGCTTCCTGATAATGCACTGTAATTTAGCACCCAGCAATTGTTTTGATTTCACAAAATGATGGGTTATTTACTTTTGCTCCTGTCAGAGACCAGTGGACTGTGTGTGTGTGTGTACACTTGCAAGATACAGAACAACAGAGCTGTCTTCCCTCTCCCCAGCAGTTCTGCCATGAATAGATGTGGCCACTCCGTGCTGTAGGTTCTCCAGAGGTTTCACTGCTGCCTGTTTTATGGCTGGTAGAAGTTCATGCTTAGTAGGAGGTTGTAGCTATCATCCAAGACTTACAATTCTAGTGAAAAAATAATTGAATTCTCCCCATTCCCTCACAGCAGCATCTGTAATATTGTATTAACTGCTCTGTGCTATTAGCTACACCCAGTTCACACGCAGTCTGCCTCTGCTCCTTGTTCTTATTAACAGGGATCGAAGTCAGAGAAGAGGAAGCGAAGACGTGGCAGACGAGCTGAGACAGACGGTGGAGATGATGAGGTAGAGAAGCAAACCCCACAAGGCCCGGTGGAAATGGTCAAAGAGGTGGTGGCAGAAGATGGAACTGTCATGACAATCAAGCAGGTGATCTGTGGGCCTGCAGATGAGAAGGAGAGGTCTGAATCGGAGGAGGAGGAGGAGGAAGGCGCAGCCTTGGGCCCGCAGGTGGAACCGTGCCCACGTTCAAATGCCATGCTGGCAGTGAAGCATGGGGTTCTGTATGTGTATGGAGGAATGTTTGAGGTGGGCGATCGCCAGTTCACCCTCAGTGACCTCTACAGCATCGACCTGCACAAGATGGAAGAGTGGAAAGTGCTGGTGGAGATAGACCCAAGTAAGCTCTGGTGGCAGGGGGGCTGTGTGACTCTATTGCAATAAAGGCTGGGATGTTGTTTCCAGCGGTGCTCTATTTTATTCCTGGAAGGAAATAGCTTGAAAGTATGTGATATGCAGTGTCTTGTAGTCTCTACCACCACAAAAGCCTGTGGTCTTGTCACAAAAGCTCTTGTCCAGAGCTTTGTAATGGCTGTAGAGTATGAACTCTGGTCTGTCTGCTTCAAAAATCAAGGCATGTAAACCGAGCATCTTTGTTCACTGATGGCTGGTTCTAACCTTAGCTCTGCTGTGCAATCTCATGGGCTGCATGTGTGCAATGGATAAAGGGCAGAAAGGAAGGAGTTTTACTGGTAATTTTGGAGCTGGGAGGAGATTGGACTCTTACCAGCTTGTCTTCCACAGCTGTTCTGTGCTGTTCACTTCTTCCTGTCTGTGTTAGATCTCTCCCTGCTGTCCCCAACTTATTTCTTCTTTCTCACCTAAGAAACACAAGAATGGCTGGAGGAGTCAGAGTCAGATGAAGAGGAGGAGGATATGGAAGGTGCAGAAGGAGGAGAAGAAGAAGAAGAGAGCTCTGAAGAGGATAGTGAGGATGAAGAAGGTAACAAGAAGAATGTTTCCTTCATACTGACATAAAATACAGCATTCATTGGTGTCACTGACCTCACTGGCATTCAGGTCAGTTTTTCATCAAAAGCAAGGTTTGCATAGTGCGTGCTTCTTAAGGAGTAAAGGAGAAATTGCTTTGGCTCCTGATAGGTTTTCAGGCTATTCCATTTAAATACAAGCTGAAGCACAGCCACGGCTGAGTTGACACGTGGGAGAGCAGATTGCCTTCATTAGCTGTATGTGACCTCTCTTTCTCTCTTCCTCCCGTTGTGTACCAGGAGAGGAGCAACACCCATCTGTTCAGCCTGATGAGAAGCATGCAGACTATCTGTCCAGGACAGAGCAGTACTGGATCAAAGTAGCCCGCAGCAACATGGGCCCGGATGCCAAGGAGAAGAAGGTGGTGAAAGTGGCTCACGCCATGGCAAAGACATTCTATGAAGATTCAACCTAGGGCTGTTCTGCGAGTGCAGAAACGTGCTGGGAGCAGTGGTGAGCCCTGCTGAAATCAGCCTAATGTGCTAGGCAGTCAGTGTGAGCCCAGAAGGCTTCCTGGCACTCCAACCCTTGCATACTCCATATGAGTGCCTCTGGACTGACTAATCTCAATATGCCTGCTGGGTTATTGCTTGGAATATACTGTTATTCCCCTGGCTGGTTGTGGGAGGGACTTGGGGAACAGGATTACTGCCCAAGCTCTGGTTCTTCTGAGAATGGAGCATACAAGACCATCACCATTTTGTTCAGAAGTTATTTTGAGTCTGTGAAGGCAAACTGCGTATCTCACAATGGTTCTCTAGTCCCAAATTCCTTATCCTAACTGGGGCCAGAACTTGTCTCCAAGGATTTCTACAATAAACTTACTTGGTTACATGATGTCGGTTCTCTTCATTAATCCCATCCTTGCTTTACTTTTCATTTTAGCTCCTGCCTGTGGGGAAAAATGATTGCTGTCTCCTCTTGGAAATATGCAGGTAGTGGTCATAAGGTGCACCAGCAGCCCTGAGGTGCAGCTGCATTATTTGGAGAAACTTGGTGATCCTTTGTATGAGAACCACTGTAACTCCTGATGTGTGCAGCAAGTCTTTCCCTTTTCAGTATTGGCCATAGCAGGTTTGCTTTTTGCATGTGGAATCCCCCACTTCATTTTCTCACAGTTTGGTCAAGAAAGCAGTAGTGCTGCAAAGGAACTCTTTGTGACCAGTGAGAAGTCCTACCTTGAGACTTGACAGCCTGTTGAAGTCCACAACCAGCAGGCTCACACTCTCAAAAGGATGTTTTTTAATCCCTTTTTTTCTTGATTCAGCCCTTCTCAAAGCATTTCTTTCTTTGCAGCAGAGCAGTACTGTAGTCCATAGGGACAACAGATGGGATACAAGCGTGTCTGTTGCAGCAAACAATTGATGACTTGAGTTGACACCAGAAGGCACTGGCTGTTCTTGTGCAGAAGGATGCAGAGTGCTGTGGGTGTTGTCTTGGTGGGGGCATTGCCAGGGAGCCAGCTTTCAGGTGAGCAGTGCTAGGCTCTACAACACTAGGATGTAACAAAGATTAAATAGAGCTGGCTTCCCACGTGCTTTAATTGTCAAGATAGAAACCCATTTGACAGGGAGGAGCCCTGTATGCAGAATAACAGGAGAGTGCTGCCTTCCCAATGCTCTTCTTGCTGTGCTGTGAGGTTGGGATGAGCCTGCATAGGCTGAGGTTGGTTGTATGATCTGGTGCAGGTGGTGCTGATGGCCATTCTTAGGCTGTGTGATGAGGGGATGCTGCCATGAGCTCAAAACTGAGGCCTGGCTGTCAGCTCTGATGAAATGAGGCTGTAGTGCTGAATGGGGACAGCCTGCCTGGGGACTGGAACACACACAGTGTGCTCTCTGGAGCATTTGCAGCCATTGGACTTGAGAGTGAAATCAATTCTAGTGCATCTACAGCTGCTGCTCAGCAGAACAAATGAGACGAGCGCAGTCAGCAACAGCCTCAAGGTCTGGGCCCATCTCGTGCTGGGCAAGGCTCAGGAGCTCTCACTTGTTGATTGAAAATTAAAACCTCTGAAAAAGGTACTTTTTTGGTGCGTGATGGACACCAAAGCAGGGATGCCTGATCATTACCATTATGCTAAGTGCTTACAGAGGAGGCCAGAATGTGTATTGGTATCTCAGTCTTCTGGGCGTTGGCTGAAAGTCTACAGAAGCCTGCTGTTGGATCAGATAGCTGGTGGTTTTCCACGCTGTAGATCCAGAAGGACCTTGAAGAAGGAGGTGAGTGTTTCACAGGCACACATCAGTGCAGTGACTTACCTAAAATGGTACCCAGAGGATGGGCTGGAGCTGGGAAACTCCCACAATGTCTGTCATAACAAGAGTTGTTCCTGCCTGACGTGCACAAGGAACAGCTTGTGCTTTTTCAATGTATGAGCAGAACACTGATAAAATCCAATTATTCCTTTGGCATCCATCAGATCGTTATGTTTGCCCATCTTATTGTAAAGGAGTGAACGTGTCAACATTTACATAGCAGAAAGAGACCTCAGTTTATTCTTATATCTGGAAATAGTCAAGCTGTTGTGTTGGGATTTTCCTTGCGTTTGTTTTGCTTGTTTTTCAGCTAAAAGGCAAATCTGAAAGCTAAGGACATCACCTGCTGTTTTTTCAGGAAACTCTTCAGGAATTCCTTTTCCTTTGGGCCACACACACATTGAACCCCACTGCAAGCAGCATAGTGAAATGGGATTTTCTGTTGTGTTTACATGCAGAGCTGGGAGGAAAGAAAGGGCATGGGGGACTGCCAGCTGGAATGCCATCCACTTCAAAGGCTGCACAGAAAAGGCTGCAGGAGAAGGTATGTGGCATTGTCTGAGTGCAGCTTAGCTTGCAACACGTGGGATTACTTCTCCCATCAGTGTGTTTGTTTCAGCATAACAGGAGCGTGGAAGCAAATGAGCTGTGGGGAAACTGGGAAACTGGGCTGACCCAGAGCTCAATGCTGTTTGAAGGTAGAAGGACAGTTCTTCACGTCCCTGTTTTCATGGGGCTGTGCTAACAGCAAAAACAAAGTTTGGTCGTGCTGAGCTCTGTGGTTCTGTGCTCCTCATCGTCCCGCAAGCTGCTGCTCATAGGTGTGCTGTACCTGTAACTGCCAGAGCAGCAGAGCCAGCTGGGGGGCTCAAGGAACTGCCTTCTGCTGCAGGATCACTAAAACACCCCTGACAGCCTAAAAACCTTCAGCTATTCGTGTGCACCTGATGGCGTGGATGTAAAACAGCAGGTATGGACAATTTGTGTAGATTTATGAGCCTTGATGACAGATGTTTTCATGTGCCTTGGGTAGGTATGCGTGAATCCAGGGCTCGTAAGGCAGAGAAATGCTCTGAATTACCTCTCTCTCTGGGCTTCCTCTCAAGAATATTTCTGGCCTTGGGCTAATGTGGAAAGCTCAGAACTAAGACAAATTGCTCAGCTCCCTATGATTAATAAAGGGATCGTTATTTTTAAGCACGTGGTGTGGGAGCCAATTAATATCAGTCTGTGGCTGTCTCTTGTGCTGAACATCAGCTTGACCAAGGATTTGTACCCAGGAACAAAAGGATGGAAAATCAGAATTGTGTTTGCTGTGCTGGGTTGGCAAATAAGGCGAAAGCAGGAACAAGTGGGTCTGCAGCCTGGAAAAGCTACTTGTGAAATGAGTGCTACCTCTATGTGATGGGTAACGAGGCATTTTTGCACTGTTTCATGCCTATCTAAATATCAGGCTGTTTGCAGGGAAGCGTTTGACCCACTTCAATGGGATCTTTGTGTCATGCACTCACCAGACATCCATAAAAAAACTTCTCCTGAGTCCTTAAGAAGAGCTGCATCCAGCATTACAAAACACAGCGCAGCACGGATGAGTGCCTGAGGCTGCATCCCAATACGTTGCTGTTGGGTTCATCTCGGGTAGGCAGCATCCAACCACAATATATCACTGTTGGGTTCATTTCAGGTAGGTGGTGACCACTGAAGGGTAAAAAGGATGACTGAGGAGCAAAGAGGAATTGCCAAAAAGTGACGAGGTGCCAAGAGGATGGAGAGTTATGGTGGAACGTGCCTTGGGGAGATGTGCTGGTGTCACCTGCCCTCTGCCTGGAAGGGAGCTGTGGAGGAAGGAAAGCTGCGACAGGGAGCGAGAAAGACCATGTAAGGAAAAGAACTGAATTTAACTGGCACATGCTCTAATCCTTAGTTTATTTCTGGTTAAAAATATAGCAATCCAGTGCAGTGTAATAAGAAATCTGCTGAAAAGGTAGCAGAGAAACAGCTAAAACAGAAGCGAAGCAAAGCGGAGTCCGCTGCTCCCCACAGCATTGCATGTGGCACGCAGAGCAGGGCCCCCGTGGGTCACATCCTGCCTCGGGGGCACAGGGTGATGTCCTTGGCCATGGCCAACCCAAATCGTGTCTGTGGGGGCTGGGAGGAGACCTGGTGGCGGGGCAGGACGGCGTGGGGAACCGGGCGTGGGGACATCAGCCTTCACCAAGCCAGGACCACGCTCCTGTGATGGGGACCATAACAGCTCAGAACAGGGATACGGCATCTTTAATGAGTATGCATATTATTGGTGGGGAGAGGGGAGGGGAGAAAATCAAGGCAGGCATATTACAAAGATGGTATAAACAAACGAATCGAGTGACATAGAAAAGAAAGAAAAGAATACATCCTTAGAGGCTGCCATTGCCAATGATGTTGGTTTTTTCTTTTTTTTTTTTTTTCTCCTTTTTTTTTTTTTTTTTTTTTTTTTTTTTTTTTACAGGGACATGTTGGAAGCTGGAATATACATCCTGCATTACAAAGTGCAAAATACTACATGCTCAGAGCCCAAGCATGATGTCTGAAACAGTCCACAGCAAGATGTAAGGGACAAACCCACCACCCTCTCCCTCCTTTCTGGCACATGCTCCAGTGCTCCTCCCCAGATGCCATGTAAAAAAAAAAAAAAAAAACCAAAATAAAACAAAACAAAACAAAAAAAACCAAAAAAATACAACTTTTTTATCTTATTTTGCTTAATTTTACTATTATTACTTTTTTTTTTATATACTAGGTGGATCAGGATCGAGCCTCTCTTGCTGCCGATCTGCTCCCTGGCATCTCTGTGGTTGGGTTGGGATGCTCAGCTCCACTCGGGTCACTGGAGATGCCTGCACGAGTTTGGGGGCCCTGGGCACGACGCCGAGCCAGAAGGAAGAGCTGTGAGCAGCACTCAGCCTTGGGAGGTGCGCCAGCCCTGCTGCGTGGGGACGGGGCTGAGGGCAGGAGTGTTTTCCCCTCGATTTCCCCCGAAGGAATTCTGCAAGACACTGTTTTGCAGCTTGGTTTTGACAACAAAGAGCAGAATGGGGCTGGGTGCTGCTTCCCATCCTTCACATCCCGGCAGGGCTTGTGCCTTCCTGTGCTCCTCTCCTCCATTCACAACCGGCCACCTGCTTTGGTTTTTCTCTCCCATTTCCTCTCTCGTGAAAGCTGTTGGATCCCCCCAGGAAGCTCAGCCCGGAGCATCCCAGGATCCACACACCCTCACACCCATCCCCTCCTGTATCTCCATTTGGGGTTGGTCACCGTTGTTACAAAATACGTTTTCAGGGGTGAGGGGAAGAGGAAGGGAAATGAGGTTTTCTTTTTTCTTTTTTTTTTTTTTTTGTTGGGTTTTCTTCTCCTTTTCTAGTGTTGGGGGGGCAGAGTGTTGATAGCATTTTGCCATGCCACACAGCGTAGTGTTATACAAGCAAAGAATTTTTGGCTAAAATCCAAAAAACATCACCCAGGAAAAAAAGGCAAACTGTGAGTGAGACTCGATCGTTTGTTGTTCTTCTGTGAAAAGACTTGGAAATTGTCGTAGGACAGTTCAAGTTATGATTTTCCCTTTTTTGTTGTTTTTGTTTTTTTTTTAACCCCCCATTCATACATGTAACTGTTATTTTTGCAAACAAGACAGTCTTGAATTAGATGAAAAAGTTAATAAACAAAATGGCGACTCCAATATTTAGTAAGATCACCATGACTACCAAGATGGGAGCTGAGCCCTGCAAGAGAAAGAGAAGGAAACGAGTTAGAAGGAGCCCAAAGCACTGCAGATCCTCACCCCTCCTGCTGGGACATCTTGTGGTGGTTACAATTCCATGTGGATCCCAGTGAGTGCACCCATCTACTGCGGTGTTATTTGCTTATGGGCTCTGCCTGGGTCATGTGTGTAGGAAATCTGGCTTTAGCAGAGAAGACTCGATAGCAGTTGAGGTGGTAACTGAAGTGAGAAACAGTTAAAAAAAAAATTGAGTTGGGTTTTAGAGCTGTTGGGGGCGGTTTGGAGGAGTCTCCAAGGGATGTTTTCCAATGATTGCAGTTGCTGTACAGACATCCTGTTGATAGCAAAGGCTGGCACGCTGCTCTGCATCAAGGCAGTGTTTTGGACAGCCCTGATGATCTGCTCTGGGCTCCACAGCAAATTCTATTGGGGGGCTGTTTGGGAAACATCCCAGCGTGGTTGCACCTGCCTGGGGTGGCACTTCCAGCCTGGGATGAGCATTGCATGAGCTGCTTCTCTGAGTCCCCTTTGCAGCTGCCAAGGGTGTTGAGTCTGCTGGACCCCAATGGGGCAACGGGAAGGGAGTACACAACATTCCCTGTCCTAAAGTGATAGCAGGGAGAGCTGTGTGCAGGTGGGTGGCAGCTATTTCTTGGTGTCGCTGCATCCTCATCTGTTCTCACTGCTGCAGAGCTATGCTGCCTCTAACAGCCTGCAGTGGTGCAGGTGGTTCCTCTGTGCTGTACCAGAGCCCCTGTGCCCATCCAGGTGGCACGGGGCAGGGCTGTGGGCACAACTGTGAGGAAATCCTTGCACCACTGCTGCTGGAAGAAACGCTCCGTGCCGGACACGGTGGGTTCCTCCTTTGAGCAATCTGATTCAGTTTGCATTGGGAGTGGGTGGGAGTGAGGATGCTGGAGCTTGCTGGAAAGGCATAGCTGTAGCTTAGCAACAGGGTCAGAGGGAGCTGAGCAGAGGGAGGGATGGCAGGGAACGGCTGTTGGCAGCCAGGTACCCCCCTGGCTGCTCTCAGCCACCTCCATCTGCACTGCCTGAGCTCGAGAGCCACAACCCAGCCCTGCTGCTGCCAGGTGCTGCAGTGCACGATTTAATTTGGGGGTTTTAGCTCCATTGCAGAAGATTACTGGGTTTTGTGATTTTTGAGCTTGTGTCAAATGCAATCACAGATTGTGAGCGATGATCGCTGCTGTTGTTTTTGTTGGCAGAGCAGTGTGGAGACACAAAAGGCATTTGGTTTCCTTCACCTCGCAGCCAGGGCTGCTCCCTGGCACACTGACATCAGCTGTGGTCCACGCACAGCTCCGTGTCCCTGCCAAAGGGCAGTGACCATTTCTGCCCTGCTCTGCCCATTGGATCGCCTCGATGACGTGCACACTTAAGGATGCAAACTTACCCAGCAGTGCCATGAGCCCCTGCTGCTCTGGATGCTCTCTCCTCCCAGCTAAGGGCATGCGTAGGATTCCTAATTCCGTGATATCTGAGCTTTATCCTCACCTGGGGATAAACCCGGTGCTCTGGCTCAGATTACAGCACTTTGGTACCTGAGGCCGGGGAGGGATTTATCTGGGTGAGCCCTCAGCCAGAGAAATGCAAGAGTCAACCACCCAAGCACACGCCTGCTGGCACCAGCATCACCTGGGCCCCCCTTATATGAATGTTCTGCTCTGATCTGCACCTGTTTGCATCTTGCATTTCAGCACAGAGCTAAGAGCCAACACTTGCTTTGCTGCTGTACAGCTGGACTCTTCTATGTTCTCCTCTCCCCTCCCAGCACTTCTCCCAGGGTTGGTACCCACTGGCCTTACAGTGCATTCCCTGGCAGGGGCTGGAGCCCTGCCTGCAGCAGCTGCCCACATAAGCAGCTTTGGGACATTAAAGCTTCTGTTTTAGCTCCAATTACAAATCCTACTGCACTTCTCAATGCTTACATCTGGCTTATTTCTAACTCGTGAGGTCTTTGTGCCTTTGTTCAGGGCAGGCACTTGCCCTTCTCCCTTTGGATGGCAGAGGTGTCCTGAGAGATGTCTCATCTGCTTCTAAGCCATGATTCCTTTTTTCCCATCGTGGGATGATGGGCAAATTTCATCAGCACTGCAGCTCTGGGGCACAGATAATAAGATCTTTGTAATAAGATCCCTGGGCTCCTTTGTGGGAGAAAGAAAACAGCTGTCAAGGTTATGAAAGGTAGGGGTACCAGCAGGTGCTGGGGCTCCTGCAAATGCAGGGATCAGCTGTGGAAACTCCAGGCTTTCCTCCCAAGTTGAGCAAGCCAAACCACAGATCCCAAGCCTTGGAAATGCCAAAAAGTGAACAACCCCTCCTTATGGCACAGCAGTGATCTCTGTGAATGCTTCCATCACTTTGGGGCATCTTTTGGCGTCTCCCATTGTGGCATCACCACTCCTTCCCCCACTGCTTTGTTTGTGTGTTCTGCTGGGTTTTTTTTCTCCTTTAACCGTTGTGTAGTAACTTGAGTCTTACCAGGAACACATGGGACAGCTGGTTTACAAATTAATTATGCCACAACCGTACTTAAGTATTAACAATCCATTATTATCAGTTATCGCAGGGACACGAGCTTCATCTCTGCCATGGAAACCATCATGCAGGTTACCTAGGAATCCCTTTGGGATCTGTTAGGTGTAATTACCAAGGACTTGGATCAGCAAAAAGCATACGGGCGTTGTTTTCCAGCCTCAGCACTACAAGAAATGCTGAAAACTTCACAGCTGGGTGACATTAGTGCTGAATTGTCACCTCATTGCCAGGCATGGGATGCTGTGACACAGCTCAGGAGTGCTCAGCAAGGGGAGAAGGGGGGCTGGCTTTGGTAAGGGGGTGGCGGGTTCAGGATTTTGGTGTTGTTTTGGTCAGGAGGTGGCATTTGGTCTCAGCTTTCTCAGGAAGGGATGCAGAGGTGGGGGATGGCAAAGAGAGCTGCGCTCCTCAGCTCCATCTGAGGGCCCTGAGACGGAATGGATGGGGAAGGGACACCGCTGGGTTCAGCATCACGTTGTTCTCTGAACGCTATTTGTGTTGTGTTGGTGTAAGTAAAGCCTGCGTGTGGAAGAGATCAGAGGAAGAACAGATTTAAGAAGCAAGAAGCCCAAAACTCAGCATGCACTGCAGTCCATCTCTGTGCCAGCAGCTGCCCCCCAAAATTGGGGGATGGGGGGGGAAGAGGGGGGGCTTGGTGGAAAAGGGAGGAAAGAAAGGAAGAGAGAGAAAGGAAAGAAAGAAAAATCTGAGATAGAAAGAGGAGAGGACACAGCGCTCAGCCCCACGGATGCCAACCAAAAAGCATCCCCGGGTGCTTTTTGCAGCACCCAGAGATGCAGGCAGAGCTTTGCCATCTGCTGCTTTAACCAAAATGCGGGGCTGGGGGTTGGGGGGGAGAGGGGGGGGGTGGTCCATGCGATCTGCCTTCCGCACGTCGCCGCGGTGCGGCTCCGGCAGAGTCGGCTGCACATTGGCTGCCTCCTCCCTGCTCTCCCCAGCGACAGGGAAACCTGCTCGGAATACATGGGTGGGAAATGCGCAGGCAGCGGGCGGGGGGATGCTGCAGCTCCTGCGTCCTCCTGCCTGGCACGGGGGGGGGGTTGTGCCGTCCGTAACCTCTGCAGACGGTTCGCAGACCCCTGCTCGCCCTTTGCCATAAGAAGCAACGCCATCAGCACGGGCTGCGACCGCGGAGATCGCATCTGACAGTGGATGTCAGGAGCGGATGGGGCTCTTTTTTTTTCGGTTCCTGCCCCACTATCAGGCTTTCTCAGTGCGGGGATTTTAAAGGGCCAGCCTGCTCGCATCCCGCTGCCTTCTGCCCCTGAATGAGGACAGGCAGATGGGGGCTCCTTCCCACAGCTGTGCTGGGGACCCACGGCCCTGAAGTGTTCCTTTTTGGGGGCTGCAGATGTTCGGCACCTGCAGAAAAGGGTTCTGTTCTTTTTTTCTTTCCCCCTCAGCCCTAAAAATACAGCCGATGGATAAAAGGAGCTGCTGGCCTCTTAGAAACCTTTCCCTTCCAGCAGCTCAGCAATTCCTTTCCTCCTTTCCTTTCCTTTAGGCCATTTCAAAGGCTCCAGGAACCCGCTCGGACACAGGCTTGAGCTCTGTGCCTTGTGGTTCTCAGGGCCAGAATGGACAGTGATGTCTATATAAGTTATATTAACCCAAGAATGCTGGTCCCAACGCACTGCTTTATGCTTTCATGCAGGTGTGATGACTGATACAGGCTCATTCTGTATGCACACACACACAGATCAGGCGGCTCCAAGCGCAATGTTTGGCTGTGACCCCCTGACAGCAGAGCACCAAGCATGGAGCAGGGAACGGCCTTACAGGGGAATGGAAACCAAGGGAACCCAGCTCAGAAGGGCAGAGAGGAAGGGGCAGGCGAGGTCACAGCAGTGCTGGTAGGATGGGACGTGGGGGTGGCACACGGCTGCCCCTGCTCACCACCCCTCACTGCTGCCCAGCCGCTGCAGCCGCCCCTGCAAGCGCACTGCTGTGTGCTAGAACAAATTGTTGCTGGCATTGTGGGTTATTTAAATCTGCATATTATCCCTTCCTCTGTATTACATTAGCTTCCTCCCAAACCTCCGCCATCTGTTCCACCCTCGGTTATGAATGTGAGAAAACTGAACATGCTGCTTCGCAGCTACAGCACTTCAAAGGACGACGTGCAGCCTAATGGCTGTTCTGGGCACCGCCTGGCGTTCACCCCGAATTGCCATCATTGTGATGCTGCCTTGGGATCTGTGCATCCAAAGCTGCAGCTCGTACTGGGAGCACTGGTTTTGCCGGGCTGGCAGGCTGCATCCTGCAGTCTACCAGCAGACACGCTGCCTTCATCTCCTATGAAATGCTGTGTGGGTGCTTTGGAGCCTGCGCTGAAGCTTGCAGGATGGATAGGAAAGCAGAAAGCTACAGGGCTGCGTGTGGGGGTGATTTATCATGGCAGGCCTGCAGCATCCTGGCTGCTCACGGGCTGAGATGCCACTGTTTCCTTCTCCCACCCATTTGTTCCCATCCTCTGGCAGCACAGGACCATCCAGCCCTACCCGACTCAACGAGGGCCCACATCAGACCACCAGCACTTCACCCAGCACTGCAAAACACGGGGGAGAAGGGAGGCAGCTGTTCTTGGTGTGAGTCCTGCAATCCCCAAACACAATGGCTGGGAAGGACCCAAGAAATCGCAGAGCTCAGCTTCATCCAAGCTGTACCCAAGCTGCAGATGCCCAAGCTGCTCTCGCACCACCTCCTCCCTCCCAGCCACCAGGGAATCGATCCCAGCTCTCAACTCACCAGCGGTTGCTAATGGCTCACCCCTGCCTCTTCTGCTCGCATTTAAGCCCATTAATTCTGTTCAAGAACAGATTATTACTTCCTACATTGCAGCAGCTGTTATACGCTTGAAGATTGCTTTGTCTCTTCTTCTCTAGCCTGAACAACTCCAGCTCTTCCCAGCAGCCATCTCCATTGAGCCCCTCTCATCCCGAAATGAGGAACCCACAGGTGTCCCATGGGCTGTTATCCAAATCCCACAGGCTGTGCTGCTGGAAGCAGGCTCATGCTCTTCTCCCTGACTTGTAGAGCTCCTGGCTAGCCCATCACCCTCATTGTAGTTGCCCATTGCTTTCCCTGCCTGAATTGCATCCACCTGCCTGCACGGACTGAGCCCAACCCATTTGTGACATGCCCTGCTCCACCTGGGTCAGGTCCCCGGTACAACACAGTGACAAAGACACTGCTTTGGCATCACACAGCAGTGGAGAGGGGCTGCAGGTCAACGCAATGCCCAACCACCACGAATTGAGCAGGAATGTCATGTTACACTTTTGGGTCATATCATGCTCCTGGGTCATATCACGCTCTTGGGTCACGTTGCAATCTAGAGTTGTGCATCACCCTTGGGTCACATCATGCTCTTGGGTCATGTCACACCACTGGGTCAGTGTCACATCCTTGGGTCATGTCACAACCTGAGCCAGCATGAAGTTCTGTTGCTAAAACCCAACAAGGAAGCGTCACCAAAGCCCCGCCTGCCCTTGCACCTTTCCCCCAGGTGAATACTTCGTGCCCACCAGCTCGCCTGTTCTTATTGCTGGCCCCCAGGGATAGCTTACGAAGCTCAGACTTCCCTGCTTGCATCCTCCAGCGATAAAACCATTGTTCCCACCAAGAGAATCTGCAGAGGAAACCCTGCATCCCCTTCCAGCAGGTACTCCAATGCAGCAAGGGAGAACAGAGGGGAGATTCCAGACACAGACCCATAGCAATGCAGAACTCACTGCAGTCCCACGACAGCTCCGTACCAGCTTTCTCAGCCAGATCTGAACACACAACGTTGCCTACTTACCGTACTGGATTTGAGCGCATCCCCACTGTCCTCTTCAGATTCTAGTGCAACAGGTAAGGATTTCTGTGGCGGGGAGAAGGTTAAGTCCCACCTTAGTAGCCGGGGCTCAGCTTTGTCCCCAAATCTCAGGTTTTCCAGTTTCTGAACCGTAGGCTCGGCAGAGGAAGCTGGCCTGAAATTCTCTTTGTTCTGGGACTTAGACCTCAGTCTCTGAACCCCGAAGCCCCGCTCTTCCCCGCGGTGGTCGTCAGCCATGCTCCTGCAGGCTCCCCCTTTGCTGTAGTGTCTTTTTTGGGTGTGAATCTCTTGCATATACGAATCCATCCTCATGAGGGGCTTCATCTCCATCTCGTAATTGCTCATCTTCTCCTCGTCTAGCTCAAGCAGCTTGGAGCTCCCTGAGCTGTGGTTGTGAGACCTGTGGTGGGAAGTCCAAGAAACCGTGGCTGGGGAATCTGTCCACCTCTCTCTTTGCTTGTGGTTGGAGGCCAAGTGTTTGTGCCCTCCGCTCCGCCCTCGGTAATCTTCGGGGACGTTGGCCGACCCACTGCGCAGCGTCCCGCTTCTCACGCCGCGCGTCCCGCCCGCCTTCTCTTCGCTCCAACTGTTGGGTCGCAGGTAATCCCCGCCTCGCCCCTCCAGCAACATCTGGATCTCCCCACCCCTCTCTTCGTCCACCGAGACCTGCCTGGAGAAGTGAGCGCTTTTGTTCCTGCAGGAAGGGCCCAGCGGCGGCGTGGAGGAGGGGCTGGCGGGGAAGCTCTGCAGAGGACTGTCCTCCGGGGTCAGGTCGGACGGCGTCGTCCCTTTCCTGTAGAGCTCGGGGCTCTCCTGCTGCAGCGGGGTGCCGGTGGAGAGGACCTCGATGTCGTCGCTCGAGTTCTGGCGTTTGGGTCTCTGGCATTCGAGCCCTTTTCAGGGAGTGGTTGAAGGGGGGAAAGAGAGGGAGGAAAGGAGACAGGGTTATTTCTGTTCATTTTTTAATGACAAAGAGGAGAGATGAGCGTTGGGTGGCCAGGAAGCTACAGGGTCGGGTCAGGACTGCGGCAGAGAGGAGCCACGCACAACTCGTGCCACCGGACCCAGAGCGAAGGCGTCACACATCGAGCCCAAGGAGCACCAGGTGGCTTCTCCCTGGGGATGGGCAGCTCAGGAGCAGCTGAGTGTCTTCTGCAGGTGGCAGGTGAGAAGCACGGCGCTTCTCCAAACAACTAAAAACTCTGGGTGGTATGAATCCTTCATGAGACACTACATAATTTCGGATGGTTGCAAGCCACCAGTGGTTAAGTCTCGTTTTACCCTCTCAAGGCGTAGCTGTCCTCAGCTAAAGCCGTGCTAAATTACATGAATAATTTGATAAATATATTAACTGCCTAATGCCCCTGAAATGCATCTAATTGCAATTGCTATGGCTAGACAAGAAATGAGTCTCAAAAAGAAGAACTCAATTTCTTACCGTGGTTTAAAAATAAATGCTCGGAAGCGCCTGCTCTAATCTCCATGCTTTCTCTGAGCCATTTGCTCTCGTGCAACTTCTTGGGGAGCCGTGCCTGTGCACCCCGTGATGTGATCTGGATACGTATGGGAGATGCTGATGGATGCCCCCACAGGAGGACTTGCAGGGGAGGCCAGCAGGAGCTTGGAATTTTCCTGCTGAAGTAATTTCTCAGTGGGAAATTGGGCTCCTGATATGTTTTCTTTTCTGTGTTGTTTGCCACAGGAAATTCTGCTTGTGTTTTGGGACAGTACTCAAACAGCTCGGTCTTAGTTGGTTCCCTGTGAATCTGTGGGAGAATGGGTTTCCCAGGGTTTATCTGGGGTCCCCGGGCGATCCTTGTACCGCTGGGGAATGGAATGAAGGAGAAAGATAGAGCTCACCGCTCTGTTTTTGTGCAGAAAATCTCCCTGAGGGCCTTCTGGGGAAAATACAGGTAGGTGGGCTGCTGGCTGCTGGGGAGATGTTCCCAATTCACATCTTCCTGGCTCACACATGGGAAACTGAGGTGGGGAGGGAATAAAGAGCTACATATGGGAAAGCTACTTGTATGGCTCAGATGCAGCCAGCTGTTGGTGCAGGCTCACCTGATATTAAGGACCATAGAATCATTCAGGATGGAAAAGACCACTAAGACCACCAAATCCAACCAACCCCACCATCCCAGTGACCACATCCCTCAGTGCCATTTCTCCATGGTTCTGGATTACCCCCCGAGATGGTGACCCCACCACTTCCTGCTCAGCCTATGACAGAGCCTGACTGCTCATGCAGAGGAAGAAATTGTTCCTGATGTGCAACCTGAACCTCCCCTGGTGCAACTTAAGGCCACTTTCTCCTGTCCTCTTGAGCATCCCTGCTCGTCTCAGGCTTTGAGCACTCTTCCCCTGTTCAGGTCTCCAGAGTTCTCAATGGAGATGCAAAGACTGGAAAGCTTCCACCAGCTCCAACCACCAAAGGCAGCCTCAGCCTGCTCACAACTCTGCTCCATCGCCTTCACATCAGCCCAAGGCTCTCACAGCCACCCCGAGCCCTGTGATAGAGGTAAGAAAGGCGGACCATGCTCCTGCATCCTCATTTTAGGATCATAGAACCGTTAAGGTTGGAAAAGACCACTGTGACCATCGAGTCCAACCGCTGACCCACCCCACCATGCCCACTAAGCAAGTCCGTGCATCCTCACCCCATCTCAAATTTTCCCCACCCAGACCTGTAATGGGCTGAACTATTTCTGCTTCTCCTTCCCTCTGTGTTTTCACCCCCCACACTGTGCAGCCCTGGCTGGGGCTTGGGGTCGGGCAGCGATGCAGGGCTGCAGGCTGCTCTTTGCAGAGGAACACGACCAATGCATGGTGCCATCCTGCTGGCTTTCGGTACCAAAGGATGTTCAACAATTATTCTGCTCTAAAATTAGCTGGCAAGCACGTGATGTTCCTGGAAGAACCGTTGTGAGAGCGCTACGGAGGATGCGGAGCACCAAATCTGGATCTCCAGCAGGAGATTTAAGGCAGCCGTGCCTGGCCATGGCACCTTCAAGGAGAGCACGTGCCCCATGTTTTGGGTGGTGTGTTTGTTTTTTAATGTCCTCTAAATGCAAGGTTCTGCCCCCCTTCCCTCATGCATGACCCACCAAGGGGTGAGCGCCAGAAGCACGAGCCCCACCACCAGCTGTGCACTGCGTCCCCATCCAGCAGCTAGTAAAAAATGTATTACCTAAAAACATCTTTCTGAGAGGTGGTTTAAAACAGCCAAGAGGAAATGGAGATGAGGAATATCTCAGGGCTGAGGAAGCCCCAGGGACCACACAGCCCTGAGAAAATGCTCAGATCTCCGACAGACAAACTGGAGGTCTGCAGGTAGAGGAGAAGGGTGTTTAAGCAGGGCTGTGCTTTCTACCAGCAAAAATGGGGCTGCGTGGGGCTCTGCAGCAGACCCACTGCATGGGATGGTGGGGTTGAGAGATCCCCTCTGCCTGGCGAGCAGCACCCCGACGTGAGTCACCGGCACCAGCCCTCGAGCAATTAAAGGGAATGAGTAATCTCCAGTTAAAGAGCTGGAGAGGGGAGAAAATAATGACAGACGCCTCCTAATGAGGGTTTGGTGCAGGAAAAGTTTTGAATAAAGCCATTCATACACATTAATTACTATGTTAATTATGGCTGCGGGGACTTGGATAGCTCCCTCCTACCCCTCTACGCGCAGCTTTGGTGGGGCAAATCCCCCTGTGGGCTGAGCATCCTTGGCTTCCTCCTCCCAGAGCCCTTCCTGAGAGAAAACTGCTCAGCTGGGCACTGCCTGCTCCCCCCACCCTTGATGGGCAAAACCTGGTAGAAACCACTGAGAAAAGCTGGAAATGCCAGAGGGACACCTGGCTCTGCGCACATGTAAATGCATACAAGTCCATTGGGCAAACCCTGAGTGCGTGTTCCTTGATACCTTTGCACTGAAGGAGCACATAATACACACTTACAAAGCCCAAACTTTCCAAAGAAAGAAGAAACCAAGCTCTTGAAGCCATAGGGTAGAACAGTGAGTACTTTTGGGATCATCTGAATTTGCGTGTTGCTTTTGGAGCCATTGGTTTTGTTTTCTGGGCAACCATTGGAGACTATGTGTTAAAAAGTGGAATTATTTCAGTGCAAGGAGCCAAAGTCCCTGCTCTGACAGGGCTGCATGTGTTTGAGTGTTGTGTTGCGTATGGGAAAATAAGGCTCCACAAGCTGATGCTATGGGCACACAATGGTGCCAGGGAGCTGCGGGCACACAGAGGGTGTGCAGGGCTCATTTTTGCCTATTCTATTTGCAAACCCTGATATGAGATACGTGCAATGTGGGCTGTCCAGTGAGGCATCACGCACTGACCGTTTTCCCTGTGCTGGAAGGAAGGAGAAAACTCTTTGGCAGTGATCCTGGCGATGCGCGCTTCCTCCTGGGCTTTCTGTGCTGCTGTCATGGCCGCCTCTGCCTTGGCCCGGGAATGGGAGGTTCTGCAAGGCAAGCAGAAAGACAAGGATGTGAGCAGAGGGTCACAGCACTGCTTGGGGTTTCCCTTGGTCCCCCCAAAGCCCAACCCAAAGGGTTTGGGCAGAGCTGTGCCCAGTGGTGTTAATGCGTTGCCGCTTTGCGATCTCAGCTCCAAGCGGTTGCAATAGTGGTGATCTTCAGTGGGGACTGAGTGCTGCAAAAAGGGCTGTGTTAAAGGCACGGTGAAGGCTTTGATCTGCAAAGCATCTCCACTCCTGCGTACCGCCTGCCAAAATCTCCATCCCGCACCTCCAGGCTGATCCCTACAGCAAACCCTGCAGACTGAAGGCGAGGAAAGCAGTCAAAGCACAGCAGGGAGAAACCCAGCGAGCACTCAGCAAACCCTAAGGTTCCTGGGACACGATGGAGATCCTGGGGCTGCCCTGCACTCAGCCAACACCGCGTCAGATGGATCAGCACCCACACCCTATTGCACAGAGTGCATCCTCCAGAGGTGTCCCTTCCCCTTAGCGAAGCTCTCGAGGCACTTTAAAAATCCTCCTGTTCCTCCCCGCCCCGGTGCAGGCAGTGATATAAATAGCTCTGCTGATTTCTTTTCCCTCCAAAAGCAGGCCCTCCATCTCCTTTAATCACTTTTTTTTTTTTTTCTTTTTTTTTTTTCCCTCCTGCTCTCTGAATTCCCTCTAATTTTTCGACATCTGCTTGGAGAGGAGTTGCCATTTCTGACAGGCTCCTATAAATGGAAAACAGGGCCAGCAACGTGCCTCGCTCCGTGCCACGCGGTGTGAGTGGGAGCGCAGCTGTGCCCCATCACCTCTCTAAGCCCAGGCAGGATGTGAACATCCCCTGTCCCTTTTGTCCTTTGTTTTTAAGTGCCACAGACTTGCCTTTGCTCTAATCAGTGCTTTTTTAAAAATGCAAACCGACTGCTCCGCAGTAATTATAGTATCACAGAATGGCTTGGCTCCGGTTCCAACCTGCCTACCATGGGCAGAGCTGCTGGCCATCACATCGTTTGCTCAGAGCCCCATCCGGCCTGGCCTTGGGCACCTCCAGGGGCGGGGTACCTACAAACAGTGCCAGATGAGGCTTGAAATTAGGATGCTGCCTGCCTGAGATTGTCCTATGGGCACTTCTATGGGAGCGGTCCATCCATCAGCTCACAATGCTCCTCCATCCTCCTCTGCCTCCTCTACCTCCTTGACCCAGGAGCGGTCTGGAGAAGGGTCTGTCCCTGCCGTGCTGCAGTGCTCTCAGACAGCATGCTGCCAGTCCCTGCAGGCCTGGTACAAAGGATTAATAACGGCTGGTGGTGTCTGGACCGCACTCAGCAGGCAGGATTACACGCTGCCGCCAGATCTGCTCCCTGGAGAGGCAGCTGGAGGCAGATAGCTGGAGCTATCTGTCACTTCTTCCAGCACTGTGCCAGCAAAGGAGGCTGGGAGCAGCTTGTGCCGCTCACAAGCAGTCCTGGGGACAGAGGAAGCTGTCTGCAGAATGGAAGGGCATGTTGGAGCAGCCTGCAGGGAGCATCTGTGCTACGCTCCTCTCTCATGGACCCATTGGCTCCCATTTCTTCATTGAGATGGTTCAAAACATCCATCCCCTTGGCGTGGATGACTTTTCATCCCTTTGGCTTCTTGGCTTCCCTTCCCTTTGGTGTCGTTGACTTTCCGTCCCTTTGGGTTGATGGCTTTCCATCCCCCTGGGATGGGTATCTTTCCAACCTTTTGATGTTAATGGCTTTTCATCCCCTTGAATTGATGGCTTTCCATCCCTTTGGGGTGATGATTTTCCATCCCTTTGGACTGATGGCTTTCCATCCCTGGGAAACTTACTCCAGGATCTTCTGGACCAGTTCTTCTCCATCAGACCAGCCCAGGAACAGCAGCTGCTTGGGGGTTCGACCCGGGCAGAGTTAAAATCAATTACATTAATTAAGTCATCTCCAATCTAAAATATTTGCAATGCCCACAAAGCAGACAGAGCGCTGACTGCTGCACAGAGGCGCAGGCAGGCTTAATTGTTTGTAATGCTCTCTAAGATGCTTGCAGAGAGACGGCGTCGGAGTGAAAAGCAGAATTATGATGATCTATACGTTGCATAATAAAATACATAAGTATTCCCAAATAAATGCAAGTAATCCAGTTAGTGCTCGCATGACTTTGTCACATACTAAATTTAACAGCTGTCTCCTTTATACATGCCTGCTGCTCGTGGCGTGCACTAAATCTTAATTCCCCAGCTAATTGACTTTCTCTCCATGTAAAGCAGTTCTTCCTCCACAGGCACTGATCTACTCACCTTTCTCAGTCACAGGTGGGGATTTTGCTGGGGTGTTGCCCAGCTCTGAAACTGGACAGTAGGTCAGAGGGGCTAAATCCTAGAAACCACAGTCAAAATAAGCTTGAATTTGTCCCTTTGTTGCCTAATCCTGCAATGACCACGCTGGAATAATGCCATTGTTTGCAAGGACTTGATGCCCCTTGCACCTCATTTCAGCCGTTAGAAGTTGTGCCTCTGCTGGAAGATGCTCCATTAGGTTTCCTCTGCCATTGATGGATGAGTGTGGGAGAAGGATCCCAAGGTAATGGAAATGGGCTCAGTATCGATGCACACAAATGCAAAGGAGCTTTGGAGGATGGCTACAGCTTCTAAATCTCATCTTAGCCCACAGAGCATCCAAACAGGATGGTGTCGGAGGCTGGGAAGAGCCAAAGGGGGATGCTGGGGTGGACTGGAGCTCCTGAGACCCATGGGTCTGTTCTGATCCACGAATGGCTTTGGGCTATTGCATTTATTGGGTTTTGCCAAGCTGACTCACTGCTCTCCTAGACCGGGCATGCGATCAAACTGGCAGGAGGCACTGGCAGGAGGCAGGGGAAACAGCAACCAAACATTGCTGCAAATCTTTGCAGATCTCTTGCGATTCAGCCAGAAGTGACAGGGGAAAGGATAATACCTGCGAGCGCCTCGTAATGCCAAGTTTATCGGCTCCGGCTAATCTATAAGAAGCTGGAATCAACTGATCTGAAAGGAAGAATGTGGCTTTTCAGGAATGCCAACAGCGATTCCTGCTCGGCTCTGTATGCACTAAGAGCTGAGAGGGCTTTTGCTGCAAAACCAACGCTCAGGGCTGGGTTAGCCATAAAGGAGTGAGCTTTTGTTGGGAAGAAACAAAGGAAAGATAAGACCAGGCAAAGCTTGAGCGGTGTCTATGCTAACAGAGAGCTCTGGCAGGAGAACAAATTTAGGCTGGAAATTTGTGGACCATTGGAAATATTTCTGGAACGGAGTCTGCTCAGGAGTGGTAAAGGTGATGCTGGGGTTCATCAAAGCGAGGGCTGACGAGAGAGCCATCCTCCGTGCTCCTTTTTCCCTGGTGTTCCTGTAAGGAAAGCAGACTCTCTTCTGAGAAAAAAAAGAAGTAACAGACTTTTTGAGAAAAACCTGTCCGGGGCCAGAGGCAGTTGTGTGGAAACTGGGAAATTTGCATCGTTTGTGGCTTAAATGTGACGAAGAATCATATGGGCAACATTTCTGAGCAAGGAGGGCTCTTTCCCAAAATTCATATGGCAGCTGTTGCTGGGGAATTCCATTTCCTTAGCTAACAAAGCCATCCCTTGCTCAGTGGGATCCTGGCACGCCAGGGAATCACAAAACTGCTGCTGTGCTGCTTCTGTGTGTTGGGGTGGAGACAGCCAGCAATTCCCCCACGGCAGAAAGCTTGGCTCTCATTGGCATCTCCATCACTGCCCCTTGAACTGCCCGATCCTACAGCAAAACCGTGTTGCAATATCTGACAGTGCTCAGCTAATGATCAGAACTGTTCCTAAGGCCTCCTCCTGAGCAGTGTTTTGGGGCCTGATGAGGAGCTCTGCTTGCCCATAGGCACACACAAGCAGTGCGGATGGGGTCACGCCGGCAGTGAGCTCATCCCAGGCCATAATGAGCAGCCTCAAGTTTTCCTAAGGGAGCAGGCTGGCTCCATTGGATTCACTTTGTCTCTCAGGTCAATATGTAATCAGGCAGCTTTTGTGTTTTGCTTTTTTTTTTTTTCCCCCCTCCAAATGCATCTTTATCCTCCTATTGGAGGAACGTTTTCTCCCTCCATTACAGAAGGTCATGCATTTTTCAAATGGCAAAATTCAATTAACACATGGTAGCTGCTAGAAAATACTTTGGGGAAAATTCAGTGAGAGCGTTTCTCGGGGCACAGAAGTCTCAGGGCTCTGCTTTCCTGTTTGGTGGCTGCCTTGGGGCCGACCGCCCGCGTGCACAAAGCTTGCTTGGCTGCAGCATGCTCAGCTGCATTGACTTGGCTGGGGTTATTTCACACTCCCATTAGCACAGCTGAGAGCAGGATCTGGCCCTAATTGCAGCAAACTGAGATGCACTGAGAGCTGTAAAGCAAAAGTCCCTGAGTGATCAATGCCAGTAAACCAACCCTAGAGCTGAGGGGAAGGGGGTGAACACCAATGCAGCCCCAGTCAGGGCAACCCAACCCCTGCCTGGGACCTGCCTCCACCCCAGGGCTGCCTCAAACCCTGATGCTTGGCCACAATTCCCACTCTCCTCCATGGGACAAATGGGGACTGAATTATTAATAGCTGCTGCAGACTGTCTGGCTTCTACCTCTGCGGGAGCACGGCTGATTTAGGGCAGAGCGTGGCCATGTGGTGCTGCTGGGGAGGGCTTCAAACCCATCTTGCATGCCTGTGCCCACAGGGCTCCGGCTCAGCATCCTTTCCCATCCCACATCCAGCATCCTGCTGGCCCTGTAAGACCAGCCCCATAGCTGGGGTGGCTGCGAGCCGGGGCTGGGCTCTGTCTAGACGCTTCCTTCAGGGAGTTGAGAGATGGCAGCAATTAACAACCTGTTTGTTATTTTCACTATCTGGCATTTATTGCCCCGATAAAACCCACTCTTAATTCCAGCTTGACTCTTTTCACAGCTCTCCTGGTTGGGTTGTTATTGCACTAGGCTTGCCTTGAGTGATTT